AAATGTATATCAATCATCACAGCAGTAAAATAAACACTTTGTAAAACTACCTTATTCTTTTTTTTTTTTTTTTTTCATAATGTACAGCTCAACGGCTCCCCCTGTCTCCAAGGCAAGAATAGTTTTCATCAAATCAAGTGCGCACTACAAAACCAGATTACTATGAAGGCGCTCCTGGGATCTCAGTGACGCAGCAAATGTTGTTGGATACCTGAAACATTAGGCCACACAAGCTGCGTCACCACCGTGAACTCACTTCAGATCAAAGTGTCCACTCTTCCATAAAGGCGATACAAACAATGTATTTCCTCTGAAAGAATAGAGCACACATAACATGAATAGTGCACTATATCAGTAAAACAACACAACGCAGAGATGTGTAGATATGTGTCCATATCTAACTGCGTAACATGGTCCTTTCCTACAACAGGATTACGCACTATCCATCTCTTGCGCAGCATCCTATTCCTAGCTCCCCCTTCACACGCCAGCCCAGCTACAGCCCCATGCTTTGTTTACATGTCCCTTTTACTCGTTTAAACCACCCAAATGCCCAAGATTTACACCAGGTACAAACTACAATGTCATGAACAAAACACGCGTTTCTTGCTCTTAACGCATATTCCCACAGGATTCAAGTGGTTTCACAGTCCCACTCGCTGACGCAGTTGAATTTACCTGTTGTCGCGCTGATGATGAAACAATCCTGGATAACACAGCGCTTGCTCCTTTATCTACAGCGCCTCAGCCCCATGTTAGCAGCCGCTTACATAACTTTAGTATCCTTTATTGGTTATGCGTACACTTTTAACCTTTGGCGTTATCCTTACCTTTTCATCCAGCCTGACCATGAATTACATAGTGGTATTCTCTACGCAACATACGCAGGTTACTATCCCTATGGCGTATTAAACAGTAGCAACTTACGCGTTAACTCCAGGGATGCCTCTCGTGGTACCAAAGTGGTCCTGTCCATTTCCCGGTCTTTCCAGCAGGCAAGGTGTTTTTCTGTCTATTATCAATCTCAGAGCCACGTTTGTCACTGTGTATATCCCTAATGATTTTCCATAGCGCAACACTGACGCCCCGCCCCTGACACTCCCCCGGATGCTGGTTGGCCAGAACTTGGAAGAGCGTTTCCTCATCTCCCGAATCACATGTGGCTGACGCATGTTTACAAACATCGGCGAAATCACATGGTTATGACCCTTTACCGTAAACTGCATTACACTGACGCATCTTGCAGATGTCGCATTGAGAGGCGAGGGAAATTGGCTCAGGAAAAAACATCCCATACAAAAGGCTAATGTTATATATAATAGCCTGTATAATATTTGGGTTAAATGAAATTATTATTGATGGAGTGTTCAAGGCACTTTCATACGGAAAGGTTACAATAATTTTGGGCACAAAACAATTCACTTCGCAATAGAGTAGCCTATTCCAGCATTTTTTTTTTCTTCACCATAATGCCCACACTAGATCGTAGTTTACTCTAAAAAGGGTCAGTTGTTTTTCTGTGAGCTTTTTCGTGCGTTTTTATTTTCTGTAAATAAGGCTTATGTTCAAACATGTTTACATTATGTTATAATTGTTATTGCCTGCGTCAGTGCACATACTTTAGTTGCCAGCTCATTGATTTGTAACTTATTTGAGGGATGACAAAGCAAAGACTGCAGTGCTCTTTTGTTTCAGAAGATGGAGAAATTCCACTTTGTAATAAATAAAGGCACTGTTAAATCAATCACGGTTTAACAGGTAGTTATTTTCTTGTTTTTTGAAAGTAGCCTACTCTCAGTTATGGCTGCAAGTGGTTGTTTGTGTTTGTGTTTGTGATTGTGTTTGTTTTAGTTTTTTTTTTTTTTTTTTTCCCTGAAACTGATGAATGACTTCATGAAGCAAAATCTCTTGGGGGGCATATACACCTATAGGAAAGCCTGTTTGCAGCAAAACATGCTCACCGATGAGGCTGGACTCTCTCCATTTCCTCAGAAGGCCACACCTCCACAAGACTTCCTGTAAATCCCTTCTTCACGTGAAAGAGAGAGGTGCAGAGACGTACTGTTCCAGCTTGAGAAGAAAACACAATCATAGAGGTTTAGTCATCTACGCCTCCAACTCCAGATGAGGTCATCACGTGTTTCTATACTTTTGGGACTATTGAACAGACTATATACCGCCACTAGAGGGAGACACTATACTGTTAGTATCTGTCTGGTAACGCAAACTGACGCTTGCTATAGCCAACATTATGTTGATATGCAAAGTCAAATTTTCTAACTTCTGTCTGTTGGCATAATGATAAAGTAGAATAGTCAATAAATACAAACTATGGAAGTGCATACCAACTAAACAGGTGCACTGGTTGAACAGAATTTGCTAAAACAGTCTTAACTAGTAGGGTACATAGTTCCACTGACCTGCTGCTGTCTGAATAGTGTAGTCCTTTAACAGTATATTCTCGGCAACTTATCTGAAGGGCATATACATGATGTCCTGGTGTTTGTAGTTGGATGTGTAATCCTCTGTTACGTCTCATCGTGGCGTTGTTATCTGTTGACCTCTGCACTGCCTGTGCCTGTCCTCACTCCCACACTACTACCTGCACTGAGCTGATGTAACATACTATGGACAAGTGACACACTATCCATGAGTTTCAGAATGGATCCGTGAATAGGATCCTTGCCATAGCAATTAACAATTTAAAACAAAATATTATATCTGTTGAATGTAGAGTCTTCAAAATATAACAGGAAGCTGAAACCCATGAATACTCTAAACTATTACTCTAAGAACTAATATTTGCATGGATCAATATTTCAATTAATAAACATATAAGCTTATAATGTGACTTTAAATTACTACAGAAAGAATTTATTAAATGCAGTGGAAGTCAGGACTAGTCTGATCTCATCTTCAATTGTTCTTCGGCTGCAGCAGTAGCATTGTTATGTGATAATAGCTATGTTCCGTAAAATTAACATAAGATTCATTATTACAATTCAACAACAGTATTCTTTTATTCGGGATACGTTTTTCTTAATGTGGATATTGACAAGACTGTATTTCTAATAAACTTAGGTAAGCAACACATTTTTTTGTAGATCACAAAACTTATTAATGAACAAAGATGAAATGTTGAGAGAAATGTGACACTTGTGTTCAGTAATTAACCAAGCAAAAATGTATACAATAATAACTAATGTACAGTAGCTATATTATTTGCTTGACTTTAAGTTGAACAAATTGAACATTAAAGTGATCTATTTGCCTAATTCACTCATGATCAATTGTGATTTAATATAAGTTTCTACATTCAAGTCATTGAAAATAAAATTACTTAATGTGCTTTATTTCACAGAATTGTAGACACATTTGAAACATCTTTATTGTTTATGACATTTACACTGAAAAAAACAAAAAAAAAAAAAAAAAACAGTAACCTAATCACTCACTCATACAAAAATCAAAAATACAAAAATAAAAGTGGTGAGTGTCAGTCCCTTTAACAACAACAATACAAAATCGCAATAATTGTAGTTTCGGAGATCTTCTTCATTTATATGACAATATTCTGATAATCCTACAATGATTTGACTATACTTCCAGACCGAGGGTGGCTACCAAAATCCCAGTCAACTTTTCAGTCCAGAAACAGGTTTGGAGCCCCCTAGAGTCAGTGTTCCCACATGTTTCACATTAATGGCATTGTCAGATATTTTGTTGTTCCCGAGTTTGCTTGAGGGGTATGTTTGGGTGCAGATGTCTTCTCTCAGTGTGTGGACCGTCCATGAGGCAGCAGAGGGGGTGTGGTAAGAGGGAGTAGGAGGAGCTAAGGGTGTGTCAAGAAGTGGGTTTTCACATCTCTGTGTCGGCGTCTGGGGTCTGATTGGCTGAGTGTCCGTTGGTGGTGGGGGCCTGACTAGTGCCGTTTTCAGGAGGTGGGGACTCTCCGTTCACAGTGGGTTTGTCCAAGGGCTCCTGAGGCAGAGGGGCCACAGATACAAGGGTGTTGGCCTGGTTCTCCTCATCCACCTGGAAGGACTCAGCCTAAAAGTCAAAAATAATAGAGAATATGAACATTAGACAGTTAAACTTTAAACTTTTGACTTCACTATATAGGCACAATAGTAATTAAAGGTGCATTGTGCAACTTTTTTGGTGGAAGGATCGTCAAAGCTTTAATAGATTGGAAATATTATTGGTTTGTCTGGAATTTTTCACAGTATGGTATTAAACCTTTGTATCTTCATGGAGAAAAAAACAGATCAAGTTACAGGTTAGATCTGTGGAGAGGCCACCATGCTCACAGTTTCTACCACCTGCAATTAAATAAATGTAAGGAAGAGATGTTTAATGTCATACAGTGGAACATTCCTGGCAGAGCAATAACATATCCATACAAACAAGCAAGTGATGGACCCTCTACCAGAGAAGTTACACAATGCACCTTTAAAGCAGAAGTGTCCAAATTATGTCAGACTAAATGTTGTTACCTTCCTAATGAACTGTCCCATATTACTGTTAGTAGCACTTTTCAATGTGACTTTAATCCTCTACCATCATACTCTTGCTCACAAACAGCTTGGTTTTAAAAATAAGTCTAATAAGGATCAAAACTCCTAAATGCGCCCATCTGATTGATTCACTGTATTGATCATCAGTCTACAGCCCATATGACAGGCCTCCCGTTTCATCTGTGTTTCGATATGTGGCCCAAGGTGAAAACATGTTTGGACACCCCTGAGGGCAAATAATGTCATGGTTTATCCATATCAGACAGTTGTAATTGTATTCCCAGAAAATTACTTTTGGAGGTTTTTCAAATTAAACAAAAAACCTCTTCATTCCAGATGTTTTGTTTATGTTCATGTGGATAAATGATGGCGTTAAGAGCCTATGCCATATAATTCCCAAAACAGTTCAGCTTTTGAAAATTGAGGATAAGAAGGTCATCTGTTCAAAAGTCCCACTCAAACACAGGAAGGTGGGTTTGTTTTGTGGTTGTTGGTTCAAAACAAACACATTTTTGGTTAATGACTTTTATTGGTTTCATCTGTACGTGCTTAGAAGGGCGGTGCTCCAGCTTTATTGCAGTGAAGAAAATGAAACGCACACCAGCTTTCACACACAATCCAAAATGCGCTTTCTGATTGGGAGCCATTATCACAAATAGTTGAGGCCTGCGTCAGAAACCTTTGTCAATAATCACCAAACATGTTGCACAAAAATGGGTGGCTCCACACATGCTAACTCTTATGAAAATGATGTCACGATGAAACAGAACCATATGTCGCCCACTGAAACCACAGAGAGGCCATCGGAGAGTGCTCTGGGGGCATGGACTCTGCAGACTTCAATCTGACCTCAAATCCATATGGGTTTATGCAATATAAACAGTTTGTTCTCCATAAGGGGATGTAGAGTTTGTGTGGCCTGTTGATTTTGTCTAATATGAAACATCCAGGTTTTCATTTTGTTTCAATAAATTGTACATTATATACGAATATGCCAACTGTACTAATAAGCCATGATGTCATGCAGGCTGTGCCATTATAACATTTCAGCTCTAAAACTTTGTTATTCAGTCTCTCTAGACAGCACTACTCACCAGTCGAACACCTTTGGAGTTTTTGCGGTGTGTCTTGAGGTAGTATCCAGCCACCAGCAGAGCAGCCAGGAGCAGACCAGCCAGCAGTATAGAGACAAGGACTAACTTTGAGTTCTTTCCCCAGTGAGGAGTTGCTTCCTCCACATCAGTCTAACACAAAACCAGATAAAAGGTTTGGTTAAACTGAACAAATGTGTTTACACTTTTCATATTTCAACATCATCATTAAAATAAAGCCATATAAATATTACCACAGCAATGTTTAGAGAGAGAGGGATACAATGCAGTCATTAGCAGAACAATCAGGAGTGCTACATCCTGTGACTTTGAAGGCAAAGACTTGTTTTTGTCGGTTTGTTGCGTGTAATGGGCATTGCCTGTTTGTCTAAAACAACTGTAAACTCCTGAGGTGGCGTGTGGAGGTTATGTAAGGCAGATAAAAGAAATGCAGGGTGGGGCCAGCACAGCCACAGCCCCGGACTGAAGCCAAACATGCAGTTGATGTACAGTATTCTGAACATGTAAATTTTTCCTTCCTTTTTTTTTTAAAAAAAAAAGATTAGTCATTCAGGAATATCACAATTACACAACATCAAATACCTGTCCATAGTTGTTTTGTCAACTTACCTTATCTTTAATGTTGTCATTGTTGAACTTGTCAGCCATGCCTCCAACATCACCTGCAAAAAAGAACATTTTAGTTCTCAAAATTGCATATCTAGAACAAAACACATACGATGCAAAAATAAGCACTAAATAAGGACTAAACCAGAACAAAACCAGGACCCCAAACTAAATTAAGTCTAAACCTCAACTACACAAGACTTTGGCATAACCAGAGCTCTACAATTGTAATAGGATTTAAATGGAGTTTTGGGGCTGGAAGTAGTATCTGACTGACCTTCCACATAGTCTCCTGCCACAAGGATCTGGTCTGTGTTGTCCTCTTGGTACAGCTGCAGTTTACAGTCCTCTCCACACAGCTCCTCAAGCACACTTGCAATCTTTGTTCTTGTGTCCTCCTGGAACCAAACATTATTACATTATTATTCTTTTGTATTATGTGAATAGTGTAAGCAAAGAACACCTCACAACTGAATTACATTGTGACCGGTGAAAGACTCAAATATGAAGATAAAGACAAGTTAATAAACTGGTACAATCTCGGATCCTAGTTGTCTATCTACATCGCCAAAGCTCAAATGCCCTATTACACCTTGTGATGTCATGTAGTGGTAGTTTCCTGGTTAACAGCTATCTTTTACCTGTTTGTTCAGTAGGGCTGAAAGTATCCAGATCCTGTATTACCACATAAAGTTTAATAGAAGAACTTAACATAAATGTGGAGGATTTGTGTGTTAAACATGTGTGAATGAAACAAGACACAACTCCAGGTATGTTTGTGATGAGGAAACATAAATCAGAAAATACATAAAACATAAAAACGCTATGTAACTTTTCTTGTGGATGGTCTGCTACCTGCTTGTCTCCATGGAGATGCTTTTGTTACATTTTGTACCTTTAGCATTCACCTTTAGACATGCAGCAAAAGATATGAGCACTACTGTACCAAATAAACACATTTTTCACTCCAGACTAACAGCAGAATACATCAAAACTCAGATGCTATACAAGTTCCTTCAATGCACATACAGAGGTAGAGCCCAGCTGAAATCATAGCTGGCGGTTTTGGACAACCTTACTGATGCTGTGATTCCTGGAGACCTCAAAGCTGTTATTGTAAAGAAAAAACACTAACACACCCACACTACACTCCCACACTGCTGCCCTGGGCATTTCATACAGTGTGCAGCAGTGGGCCCACCCATTGAGAACCTCTCCCTCTCAACACATTAGCAGCTCGCTGTCTCTCCACCTGATAAGATACTAGGTGTACAGTTTATCCCCTACTGTAAAGGAATTTGCTGATTTATTGACATCTATATGTTTAAATGGTCTTTAAGTTCTGAAGGAATTTCCTGTTGAGCAAATGTTAGTACATCCTCACAGCCAAAACCACATTCATATGGAAAAAGGAAAGGGAAAAAATCCTTGAATTTTGTATTGCTAGCAGGCATGGTAGGAAAGTGTTCGCATCAACAATTAGAGCATTGTACTACGATATGTATGGGCAGGTGAACTTACACAGTTGGAGGCGGACTTGAGTTTGAGACTGACAGCATTTTTATCCTGAACAGCTTCCTTACTAACGCAGATGACATCATCTTGTGGAACGGGCTGCAAGCACAAACGTTATCAGTTATTATTAAAGACATTATTTATTTCTGGTATTTAGTCAAACTGTAATTTTGATTTTACATGTTGTTCTTTGTAAATCACTAAAACAGGTCCATTGCCTTGCAGTTAATCATGCCATAACTGATCAGGGCTGGACCATTAATGGTATTACAATATTACATAACACAATGCTATATGTACAGGTTTCAATCTGTTCATAATTGCAATCAAAACACAGAAAATGTAATTTGCAAACAGTAATGCACAGTTCAGTTGACTGCAGAATATCTGATTTGCAGCTCTACACAATCTGTTTTAAATGAATGCGAAAGAAAAATGATAATATTTCTAACTGTCCTTTACCTTGGGCTTATCACCAGGTCCATCTCCTCTGGCCGGGGCAGGGGTCTCAACTTTAGGCCCCTCAGTCTGAACCTCTTCTGGCCTCTGTCCGCCTTCTTCTGGAGCAGCTGGACTACTGTCATCACCTGGAGCAGCTGCTGTCTCAGTCTCTACGGAAGGGAAGACTTGTACCTGTTCCTGTGAATCTCCTGCATCTGAGAGAACACTTTGTTTTTATTTTAATTCTTAGATCATTCATGTGGTTTTACTGAAAAAAAAAAATGTCTTACTAGGGTCTTCAGTGGTCTTGGGAATCATATCTCCTCGAACAAATGCCTCAGCCATACCCACAGTGACCGCTGAGCCTGTCACGACTTCAGCTTCCTGTGCAATGGCTCCTGCAATTTGAAAGGGATATTGAGGTGAGTGCACATACTAACATGTTTTCATTTGACATAAACCTTCCATGTAAATTAAGTGAACTACAGTATCATTTGAAAAAGCTCTTAAGTGTGTTTATACTTAGTAAACTTTTCTAACAAGCAGAATAAGCTGCAGAACGTTGGTGTTGCTTCTCTCTGCATTTACTCTAGTTCATATCTAAAGTCGGATCAGCCATTGTACCTAAGAGCTTTTCAATGCGATTAAAGAGAGTAGAATGTGAATTTGACAGAAATGGAGCTCCAGGACCAGGAAGGGCATTTGCCTTTGACTGATCCTTATCACTATAATAAGGCAGAAGAGAATCATTGATGTATGTCAACATAAAGTAATTCTAATTAACAATTTTCAATTATAAAATGTGACCACAATAGATGTGTAAAATTGGTGAAATTCATTAGTAAATTGCATAAACTGACAACATTTTAGAGCACGTTTCCTTGTTTTGAGTAAAACAGCACCACGCCCTGCTGCAGCAGCCTTTAATGAGTTGCCTGCCTTTCCTGGACTGATCTGCTGGTGTCAAATTAAAAGCACAGGATCCAGAGGTTGAACCCAAATACCCAGCATGCATTCCTCTTGCCCAGATACCCCTCTCTCTCTTTCCCTCTCTCTCCCTGTCTGAAAACAACAGCAGCATTACCTCACTTAGAAAACATCCCAGAATACCTTACCCCTGCAGATCTCATTACGGTTGCCCAGCTCCTGGATTATGTTAACAATCCATGTGAGGTTTGTGCTGGACTCAACTAAATGTATACTCTAATATAGCTACAATTCATCAATTTTAATGCATTTTTTATGGTAACAACCTTATACACTTTGCATCTGCAAATGACTATATTTTTGGCCATGATAATTGTTGACTTGAAAAAAGTAAGTTGTAATAGTTACATGAAACTGAAGCATCATTATTTTTGTTTCACTATCTGCTATGTCATTTGAGGTTGATTCTTGGCACCTCTCATGGAAACGCTATAGTAGCCCTAGTAGTTTAGTTTAATGTTTGAAGGGATCATGTGGAGACATTTTAGGTTTAGAAAAATATAAATACTGTATATAATTGTTCTGAACCAGTTTGTGGCAAAATAGCTAGTTCTATCGGCAGACTTTAAAATTTGAGTATCTTAAATTTTGTGATTTATTTGATCACCATTCTGATTTAGTCTCTATGGGCTTCATCTTGTTCATAGACACCATTTTGAGTACCTGACTATTCAAAAGATATATTTTGTTGTGAACTGTAAATTGACAGTGGTGCAACTTTACACCTTAGCATGAACAAAGACTTAATTTATAGTGAACAAATCATTTATAAAGACTCTGACTTATTAAGGTTTTTTAAGTAGTTATCATACCAAGAAATGTGAATCACCAACATGGCTTTTTGCTCCTTGCTCTCTAGACAATTTGCTGATGCTTCTTCACCTCCTGTGGCCTTCACACATGAGCTGCAGCTCTGTATGTTCACACAGAGGTGGCATTGACACTCATCCCCATGTGAATGACAGACAGACAGGTGCCTGGGCCAGAACAAACACACTCTGTATAGGTCCAACAGGTGGAGCCATAATCCCCAGGGAGGTCTACTGGACATGTTAATGTTACCGTCAGCAACTGTCCTCTGCAGCTGTCTCCTGCTTTTACTGTTACATTTACTTGACTAACTTCAAAATATACTAAGAATTAACTTGTGACATCTTACACTCTGTACTAAGTGTGAATGTGCAAGTGTCAGTTCACCCTATGTTGGCTAATACTAATAAGTAATACTAGTTTTAATTCATTCTTTAAACCAAATATTATGGTACTGGTTTCTAAGCCTTACAGATTGAAAATGTCTTGCCCTGTTCCTTAATGCCTCATTAAATAAATGGAGGTAATCCACGCAACATTAATTGAATGGATAATTGTTTGGAATTTAAATAATTTGCACATAAACCAATAATGACTAATTAGTTAACCATTTTTTTCATTGACTTATTGCCACTCTCCCATCTCTTTTTAATTTCAAAATTAAATGCAGTAAAACTACTGCTTTATGTGCATACTCTGTTTAAAGTCTTCAAAAACATCTCAGTTCAGCATAGCAACAAAGATGTCAAATAAATCTTGAGTGGGGCAACTATCACCAATTGCATGGGTGTGGAACATTGACAGGTCACTGGCTCCGTAACAGAGTCTAGACCTTTGTTAACCTTTTGGCTACATGCTGTCTACGTAGAGCCATATGGGTGGTCTAAGTGTTTATGTTACTAGAGTGGATGTGCCCATAAATCTTGTTTTTCAGGAGTTGACATTTGTCTCTGCCCAGTGATCACTTTTTATCATTCATATGAAGTGGAAAAAAGTACCAGTAACAAATAACTGCCACAAGAAATATTTTTGTGGCTGCTGTTTGGAAACGTTTTTTAAACTATGCCAACCACAATTAGATTATAGTATTACATGGTTGTCTGTTTACATTTGGAGTTTAGGCCTTTACATAACCAACTGTTACAAACATACATTGGGTTAAGTCTACATTTTTTATATTTGAACCATAGAAAGGAAATCTGTCATTCACAAAATGTAAATGTAAAAGTTGTTTGTACTGAAATGAGCACTATAATTGTAACAGAGCTGCTACATTACCACTACACTTTACCTGTTACATGGACCAAAAATATGCTACAGACGAGTCCATTTTATATGACGCAATAGCACATGTGTGTTTAGCTTGTGCCTTTGCTGTGTTGAGTGATACAGTCAGCTGCAGATGTGACTGTTTAAAATAAACACACTTCCTAAAAGCACAACCTATGGCCTCAAACCTCATAAACTAAACCTTGACTACAACTCCTCTGTGATATTTCCCTAATTTGAGCTGATTTAACAGACAAAATAAAGCCAAAGATTTACTGGTATAATAAGTTAAGTGCACAGGAATACCATATTTTAAGTTTATCTATCTAATATTACGTTATGCTTTTCCAATGTTTTCCAATGATGTTGCATGGTCTGGAACTTCATAACTTCGCTTTGTCAAACAAGTGACAACCAATGATATTGTAACTAAATACACACATATATGGACACATCCGAAACACCACACACTTTCTCACTCTTGCGTGCCACTGCTTTGTGTAATGCTCTGAGCAGCAGATATCAGTCGCGTGGCTCACTATCACTGCACAAACACAATGAATCCAAGCCCAATCTCACTAACCAGCCCTGACTCTGTAATTCAACAGCGGCCATGACTTTGTGGCTCTCTCCAAGATTTTCCCACCAGATTGTATGAGTGACGGCTGTGGTCTGGATATGCTCTGACCCCCCTAAACATACACCCCCACTCCCCTACACCCCTACACCATCTCCTGGGACGTCCTATAGAGGAATGTGGCATGGAGCATGGGAGGAGACACGCCCTCTTTCCTCCCGGTTCGAGCTAGCTGTTATAGCTGTGTTTCAGTCACGCACAGCTAATACCAGGCATCCACCGAGGTGAGATGTGGACCTTGAAACACACTACCATAAAACGTATCGGAAAACAACATGTAAGGAGGCCAGCAAAAACAGCTATTTTCTACCGCAGAAGTGAGAAAAAGAATGAACACCCAAGGCAGGATGACAGTAGATATTGGTTGGTTTTCAGATTGCACAATTTGCTATATGAGAGCCAGAAACCTGTATTTCTAAGACAGACCAAAGAAAAAGCTGATGTATATTATCCTGCCATAGTGCTAACTGTTGAAATCATATGTAAGTAGTGGTCATTTTACTTTCCTAATTAACTTCTTCCACATCTAATGTACTGTATCACATCTGTAACAACTACATCTCTGACTTCCTCACTTCTGCTGAGCGCCTTGAGAAACATGAACCAGCTGTTGGATGTTTTAAAATGGGTAGACCCTCAATCGGACCTCAGACTCTGTTGCTCCTTTTGAAGAGTCCTGTGCTAAATTCTTAGATTGACCAAAGTCTAAATATACAGTATATCCCATAGTACCAGTAGTGTGAACCCTGTGTCGTTTAATGGTCCATGGAGAGGTGCTAATGGGCAGCACACATTGGTCAAACAGTTTCTGTAAAAGTTTAAATGTTTGAGGTTTAACAAGCACCCTTCCTGTTACAATCAGCACTCTAATTGTTACCGTATGATATTGTATAATAGATATGCAAATATCTTTCTCAAACTGTGATCAAAGAAAACCACAAAAGTACAAGTTTTATCCTTATTAAGTCTTGCTTTTTGATGTTGGGAGTTGTTGATGGTTTGAGCCTATACTTTATTTTTGTTAAACAGGAGTAAGTCCTGATAAAGACTTAATTTCCATTCATTTTAGTTAGTTAGAAAGTCAAACAACTCCTGTAGTGTTTAAGAACTGCTGGTACATCATTTGGGTCAGTCGCTTTGGCACTCCCAACAGCATATTTCTGGCATTTATGAGTCTGAATGTAGATGTCCTAATTTTGTCTTTGGCAGGGCGACAGTACAGGAGCCCAGTTAGCCCAGATCTATATCCACCCCTTTGACATGACATCCATATTTGTGTGCACATTCTCAAAATAGTGGCCATGTTTCCATCTTCTGGAGGTGTTTGAATGCTTGACATGGTGGATATTGGGTTAAGGTTATGAGAAGGGGCCGAGTGTGAAAGAATGTTCAGTCTGGGAATGTTGATGCTTAAACATCTTAGTATTGCTTTTAAACATTCCCCCAGTCATATTGTCAACACGATTTTTGTCTACTGCAAACCTCAAACCTATGCAAACCTACAAAAAATATAGTGGGAAAACATTTCAGCTTTTCAATTCTTAAGTCAAGGCCAATGCCAAGCATGCCATTACAACTGCACTAGGGGCAAGGGCAGTCAGACTGATGGTAAATTTGAATATACATTAAATGAATAAAAATGTAACTATAATAAAATAAAGTGGGTGTATTCAACTATCGACTTAGGTCACCTTATTTTGGATTTGCATTGACTTATTTAACTTCCTTTTGTATTTACATTTGTATTAACAGATAAATTACTGTATATAAACAAAACACGGCTATTTTAATGTTGTTTTCGCCAAGTATAATATTATGATTTAATATCCTGCTTTTGGTCCAAATGCATGAGTTAAGAGTATGCAGAGGAATGTGACATTGGAGACTGGTCCCTTCGGGTTAAACATGCCATGCAACTCAAACCACGCAGGAACAACAGAAAGCTAACCCCACCGTCTTGACCCCCATTTTGCCCCCTCCACTCCTTTATATGGTTCCTGTCATACCAATTATCAGTTGTAGTAAGTCTCCTTTCTCATGTCTTGCTAGGAGTAGAGAATATAAATTATAACAGTTATGGTTTACAGTTATATTGAGGTTCTAAGGGGTCACAAACTTACAGTGTAGTGCATTTAGCGCAGCAGATGGCATAGGCCTATCAGAAAAACAAAGACTAGACTCATTGGAAGGAGCAGTATTTGAAGTAGTCATATGTGATGTTAGAAGCCCAATGTTTTAAAGCGGGATCAGTTCATTTATTAAGTGATCATGCTAACTCTGATGGACTTAATTGTATCAAAATTTTCTATTCCACTGCAAGCCTTGTTCTTGAGCTTACCCCTCGGTCCTTATCTACCATTTTCTGGGGACCACAATCAGGAAGCATGACATCTGCATTCAATTGCGAACATTATATCACCCCCCTAGGACCCAAATCTGGCTCAACCCAGCCCCCAACTCTCATTCTGCATTTATGGTTTCACTTCCATTACCTCAAGAGCAAGCACCAGTCTAGTTTAGTGAGAGTATGCAGGTAGACCGTTAGCAGATCCAGTTGCACTGTGAGCCAAATCGGGACGTCAATACCTTGGGGGGCTTAACATTGATTTTCTCCAGAACAATTCTAGGAAGGATGGGTTTGAAAACAGCCATTAGGACCTGGAGTTAAAGTGCACTTATGTTCAAGTTGTTTTGAATCATGAGTATTTTCACCAAGTTTTTACAGTACTGGATGCCATTTTACTCCCCCAGCTCTCCCTTTTGTGCCCTTGGACTCAGCTCATAGATCACAGCCCCAATCTGGCGCCCGCCACATGTTTTAAAGTGGTTTGTTTGGCTGTACATTGTCAAGGCCTCTGAAGGGTACAAGAACCCAGTGTGGGTCTTTTAAAGGTGCTCTGGGTAACTTTTCTGAAGGAAGATCCACAACCTTCTTGGCTTTTCCATAGTAAGCTCCATGGAGACTAGCCAGAAGTGCCCCCCTCTCAAAAAAAAAAAAAAAACAACAACAAATATAAGACTAGTGCACCTTTAATGATGCTGAGACAATTTTTATTTTTTTTTTTAGGATATGTGGTGGTGCTGTACAACAATAACATTAACAATACAGTTCTTCAGTTTCTCTGCAAACTGAGATCTTTTTTTAGTTTTATTACATTTCGGTTAGCAAAGCAGCAGCAGTGCCTTGTGATAGTATCATAAGTATCATAGTTTGTGTCAGTGATATATGTAGTACTGTTTACAATATGGTATATGAAGTTAGGATTTGGTCAAAATAGTCTACTCTCACCTAATTTAGTACAATTTTAAAAAGGAAAAAGTCCAGACAACCAAACTTATTTATTTATTTTTAAACCTTTTGGATAATCTCAAACGCTACCATAGTATAGCATACAGATTTTTGTACTGCATTTGCCTTTGTTTTGTTGCGTTCCTTGAGCTATATTTCTTCAAAAAGGAGGATTTTCCTGTTGTCATTATGTTCAGGGCAAACAATGATTTCCATGATTACATGCTGCAGGGCTGGCACTGGGGTTGGCCAGACTACAAGTTAACTACAGAGACTTAAGAAACCACTTCAGAGGAGATGCAACTTAAGGCTGTATTATGTTTATAAGTAAGTTACAACTCACAGATTCTTTTATATTGAAGCTCACATTGCACTCATTGAATTACATTTTTGCTCAACCATACTACTCATAGCTAAGCGTGCCCAGTGCTTCTTGTGATCATGTCCTTGCTTTGATGGCACTCTTGTCACGCACACTCCCCTGGCTAAAGTTACGCTTGGTAACATCTGTGAATCTGACCTCACCACACCAGACTGTACAGTTAGCCACAGTTAGCCTCAGCCATGCTTGCATAACTACACCCAGTGGATAGGAAAACACGGCAGAATTGAAAGTACTCATTATTGGTAATTAAAAATACTTTAACCGCTTCAATTGCTGTTGCTACACATGTTTAATGATATTACTAGCACTATTAGGCCTATCTGTTGTCGATTACTGAGGTGAGTGTAGCCAAACTTTCCTCCAACAAGATAAAAACTTACTACAAGAACTACAATTGCAACAACTACTGCTACTATTAGGGTAATTTACAAAGCAGGAGTTGTGAGGACAGTGTAACTTTTATCTTATGGTGCTTTGATTTTATTCTTTTGTACATTTTGCATGTTCCAGTACTGTTACTTTCTGACATGCACATTTGACATAGATTTTCAATATCACATGTTTGCAATTTTCTCTTTCATGGGTTAAAATCACATTATGTTTAGCTGACAAATACAGCCTATTTGGACATGTAGAGCTGAATCTTTAGGTAGAAATCATGTCAAGCCACTCTGATTTTCTCAATCTGATCCAGCTGCCCCTCGCCGATCATGATCTCATCCCTATAAGCTGCATCCCATGGACAGGACACATGGTTCAAATTAAGCAATCCACTGTGTGATTTATATCAAGCCACAACATCGCGGGTCCAGGCTTAAAAAGCAAGGCGGGATTTCCCTAGATCCATTTTGTAACCCCGACTTAAAGTGTTTATCTAAATGTAAACATGATGGATTGCTGAAAGAACTCATCTTTTTTGTGACTGTCACTGATATGTTATTCTTTGCTTCATCCATTGATTTTTAATGGGGCCACTTCAGAGAATTTATGGACAACGACTCAGGGCTGACCTGCCTTAAGTCCTTCTACAGGATTTTAATCATTTAGAAACATAAGGTTTTCATTGCCTCTTTTGGTCTGGGTTTGTACTTTATTCTGTTAGTTTTGTCATGCATGAATGAATGAGAACTTGGAACCAAACTCTGGAACTTTAGGCTTCAAATGGCAAAAACAAAATGCATAGGAGTACATGCAATTATATGTCCAACAGAAACAGCAAAAGTTTATGAATTCCATAAATGTATGGAATTTGTAAAGTTTTAAAGAAAAACTAAATAAAAAATAGTCCAAGGGTAAATGCCCTCACACCCTCACAGCTCACAGATATCTCCAACTATCAAGTTTGATCTTTGTTGTCAAAATGTTTCTGAACCTGCAGCCTTAATTTCTCTAAAACATTGCACAAAACACTTTCCATATTTAAATGCAAGATTATATTCAAATACTACCCCCCCAAAAAAACATAGGTTCACCGTCTTTTTTCTTTCTATAAAAGCATATCATCTTTCCCCATCCTCCTTTGTCTGCCTGAGGATATTGGCAACTAAAGTTTCTATTCAATGTCCTTCACAAAACCTCACATTTGGATCATATCTCACTTCATCTTTTTATCTGCTGTTTATAGCATCACACATTCCAGACTGGGACAAGGTTGTAGGGTTAAAACCAGGCTGCAACTTCATCCACACAAACAAACACTCCTCCAGCGTGCAGGACCCCACCCCTCCAGGCCCACTCTCTCTACCCAAATTTAAAACATAATTCTTACCATTTGAGAGTAAAGCGATGAGAAGAAGAGTAATAGTGGTCATTTTGCACAAGATCAGTCTCTGTATAGATGCTGCCATTGTCCTGGGTGAGTCCAACTCGAATGGGATGAGAGGGCGGGTTTCGAAGAAGAGAAGAAAAAAAAATGGAGGGAAAGAAATAGAAGCTGGAGTGGGGCAGTGGAGGATAGGGTTTCCTGTAAGCACACAGGGACAGCCTGGATAAAGCAGCACTTGTGCTCAGTCACACTTTATATAGTACCACCCCTCCCTCCTGTGACTACTCCTCCCCCCCAGCGTGGAGGCCCGGCCCTGTATGCCCCTCCACATGTGCCCCCACCCGCTGCAAGGAGCAACAGATAGTCGCTTTTGGGGTGCCTCCACAACTTCTGCTGCATTCTTGAAATAGTGCAGATATAGGTCTGCATTACTAATAGTGAAAATTTAGTGACAAATATTGCAGATAATTAATATTGCAATAAGAATACATTTTCTTTTTCATTTCAGTTTTTTTTTCACTTTTGCAAAAACTAAATAAAATGTGTTTTGACTCAGTAAGAAGAGCATATATTCCTGAATTAGAAGATTTTAGGTTGAGTCAAGATCTGGCCATGTTCTCTTTAACATTGCAAAATAGAATTAGCATGACATATATCCCTGGAAGACATACATTTTAAGAAATATATCTATGTGTACAGTACACCCTACCCACAGTATCTGAGTAGTCCACTGCTCTATGGGAAAACTACAGTATTATTAATTAATATTCCAAATCAATGCACAGTTGTTGGAAGACTTTTGATGTCCTAACTCGAGTAATAGACCAGTTCAGCCTTCTACATATGTTCATATTAGCAGACAAATCACTTATTTACAATGATCCAGACTTTTATCTTTTGCACTTTATGGCTGCAAACAGCAATGGCAAGTCTTCTCTATTTGTGAACTCCATCTGGAACTAGCACACAATGAAAGGTGATAGCAGACAATAGACTGTGGCAGCACTGCATCTAATAGGCTTAGAAATGTCCCAGAATATTAAAGCTGCAAAACAATGGCGTCCACCACTGTTATGCTAATGCTATTAATCCATTTGGTAGAGTTCTAGCAGGTTTCCTTCATCACTCAGCAAAGCCATCAATCAACATCTGTGTTAGCAAAGACACCATGGACCTTGCTTCAACCTTTCACACATGGCAGAAAGACCCACCCCCCAATCATCCAACTTAAAGAGCTTTGCCCATACTTTTGTTAGCTTTGAAACATCTGGAACCATTGCAGAAAGTATGTTAAAAGACTCATTAAAAGATTTCTTACACACAAAAAGTATCACAATGAGTATGGTGCTAAATACTAATATTATAATATATTAATACGCTTGTAAATGAATACTTTGCAGTGTCCCTATATTGGCCCCCATTTCCTCCCACGTGAGCCTGCTCCACTACACCCCCACCCTCACCCCTCAGTATTCACCTCAGACAGCGGGGTGTTGAGGTGGCCAATTGGAGCCTAGCTGTGATTCCAGATGAGCAGAAGCAATGGTGCGGTAGTCAACCCAGCTGTGCAGTAGTAATAGTAATAGATGTTGGTAGTAGAAGTCGTTGTGTCCTCCTGGTAAAATATTTGTTACAGTGTGAGCTTGTGACATGTGGTGAATCACGGATAGATGTCAAATGGAAACAAGAACTGCTGACCTTATGGCCTTAACAGTAAAGCAAACACCTACATTTGTTCATTACACATACGCCTTTCTTACAACATTTATTCTTGAGTTTTTATTTACTTCATGGCCACCAGCATAAGACAAAATTAGCTTTTGTCAAATTTTCATTCATTATTATACAAAACTTTAATCATGTTAGAATGTTGTTACCTCCTATGTTGTTGTTTCCCATTGTCACACGTTTGAGTAATTCTTTATTATTTGTCTAATTCTCCAAAGCTCAAAATGCTTGGTTCGGTTGTTCAGTAGAGATTGGAAATTTCCGGGCTGAAATGATCCAAATAATTTGAGCACTTTCCTGTATTACTAGATGACATCACAAGGTAGAAGTGTTTTCAGTTTGAGAGAAAAACTCAGCCAAAATATGCAGGGTTTGTGCGTTAAACATGTGTGGATTAAATAAAACACAACTACATGTATGTTTTTGAGGAGGTAACAATGCTCTGACATGGGTTAAAGCTCACAAGAGTCAATTTTGCGTCCATATGCATAAGAAATATTATAAAATAGATCAGAAAATAGCATAATACGGGCCTTTTAAGTGCCATGATTACGCAGTCCAATTTAATTCTGAGGGTTGCCACAGCCACAACAGATCAAAGTCACTTGTTTGTACCAGTCTCATGATCAAATAATGTGTGACAATTGGGTCAGGAATGGAATCTTAAATAGTTTGAAACAGTAAACAGATAATTTGATGTCTCCCCAACAGAGAAAAGAGTTGTTATTATATGCATGTTTACACACACCACAAATTATTACAGTTATGCATTAGGCACAAAGCTGTATGGTCCATTCTCAGTCAAAGTCTGCTGGAACATATTTGTGTGCAGTGTGTCCATAGGTTCTCCAGGCCCGGCTTCATATGGTTTTATTTGTTTATAGTGTATTGACTGTTCTGCACATCTGCTGAGCTTTATGGACATTCAAACATGCCCCCTCCCTCCTCTGAACTCTGTGGACTGTTTCCTCGGGAACAGTACGTTGCAATGTACCTTGTATCTGCTTCTAAGAGGGAGTTGGTGCTCCAATCCAAATCCAAATTTATGCACATACAGTATGAATCAGTAACCTGCCTTCCTGTTTCTCTAGAATTGATTCATTTTCCTGTTTACACATATTTAAAATACAAGTCCAGCTGACTCATGCATGAAAGGATATTTGGTAAAACTTAACTACACATAATTAGTATTAATAAAGTTTACAGCAGGACTTCATTATAATTAACAAATTATTTATTAAGAATGATTCAGGCCCATGGACTCAGTACTTATGGTCTAATCTTAACTCGTAACCCTAATGTCTAACCCCTTAATTATGTAGTAATTAAGCCTTAATAAACTATTGATTCTAAACAATTTGCTCATGACTTATTAGAGCTAATTAAAGTGTAGTTATTACAGGCGTTAGTCTTTGTAACAAGATATCCTTTCACAAACACATGCACCACGTAACTTTTAAGTTGGATGTTCGACACCAGCTTGTTTCTATGGATATGTCACTGCTCCGCTTTGAATGTTCCACAATATAATATTCAACAGGTCTGCCTCACATTGATTCAATTACAGGTGGTTTTATTGCTCAAAAATGCCTATAAAAACAGGCATTCTCACTGAGAGTGGGGGGTTGCCTCTTCACAGATCTGACCATTTGGCCAGGTTTGGTCTTCATGATAATAGAAAGGTTTAATGCCATACTGTGAAATATTTTAGACAAAGCAATAACATCCCCATGGAGAAAATCAGGTGGCAGATCCTCTACCAGAAAAGTAATACAATGCACATTTAACTTATAACTGATATTTGTTAATTACTGAGTTCTACTAAAATTTGGATCAAAATGCAATTCACTTAAAAATCAATATCAGCCTTTCTTGAAAATTTTTAAATGCCCAATCATTTGGCAAAAATGTTATGTGTTTTGTTTTCAACTGCTCAAATGTTTTTTTGAGACTATATTTGACTGTTTGGTGAGTACACTCTTGTGAAACACTTTCTACCATCTAAAACATGTGTCCCTAGAGAAAGCAGATGATGGATTCAGCATCAAACCAAAGGAGTTCCCTCGTGGCTCACCCTATACTTTTAGACCACAAGAATCTCAGGGATGTCGCCAAGTATTTAGTGAATGTGCCAGTATTTCAGCACGCACGAGAACTCCTCCTTATTAAACAGTCATGCCAGAGCACATGTGGATCCCATATTAAATAAATAGTGTATGTCTCTCACACTCGTGTAAAGGGAGGTTAGGTGTGAGGAAAAACAGAGCTCCTCTCACTTATGTTATGGTCTTTCTATATCTCTGAAGCTGTATGTCATCTAAACAAGTTAGGAATTATTAATTGATTTTGATATTTTTTAAAATACCAAGATAAAATGACAAAATGAGAGATTCAAAAGGGGTTAAAGGGGTCAAACATTGTATTATCCTAACCATTCACAAAAGAGCACATGTGTATCAGATTTCAGAGGGCAGTTCTGTGCTCTTTTAGAATGGGATGGCCTGAGGGATGGAACTTAAGAATGAATTTGAAAAAAGATGACTTGAACTTTTCCCCCCTCTTTTTTTATATCTGAAACTATTTTGTGCCAGTTATTTTGCACAATTTTTCGGGCATGGCAAAGGGCAAGCAGTTTGAACAAATCCACTATTGTGCTTGCCGGGGCTAATAGTCTACAACAGGACACCATAAAATTGCCTCCGGCAGACAGGAAGTGTTCAAATATATTTTATGTGGACATCTTTAGAGGCTGAAAAAAAAAAAAGAAGGTTATTGTTTATTGATCGTCAATCTTGGGAAATAACTGAAATAATGTACTGAGAATACATTCTGAATACTAATTTTGAGTACCTGTATTCCAGTACAGTTACTTTTTCATTTGGTGGTATTCAGAATACAGTTACTTTTCTCAAATCAAAGGAATATATTGTCAAATTGCACAGAATTAATGAGAAAAATATAAAACACTGCTTTTGTTCATGTGATTTTTCCTTCTCTGACCAGTGATAAACAAATGCATAAAAAAATGTGAAACAAATATCAAGCTGATTTTTTGCACAATAATTTAAATGCATCCCTGTGTCAAAGTATTCCAAGTAGTCCGAATAAAGTACTTTGATTGGCCCATGTATCAGAATAAATAACAAAATTTTAAGGCAGGTATTCAGTATTCTATAACAATTTCTACATTTTCAAACATACATTCCTATTTTTCAGAATAAAAAAAACAAGCAAAAAAAACAAAAAAACAAAACAAAACTTGATGTTTGATTCTGATTGTACAATAGGTTCATTCATGCCTAAAAGTTAGCGGATGTTCTATCCTCAGGCTGCAAGGTTTAATGGCCTTTGTCACTGGCACATGCTTAACCTTTGACCCCACATTCAATCGTATGGAGGGAAGATGGTCACATGACTTCTGCCTCTTGCGCTTTAACTGTTCAGCTACTTTCTGCATGTCTAAAATGTTTGTGATAATTGTGGCCAGAAGAGGGCGCTGCTAGACTGATGTAAACTTGGATGTGAGTCGTTACCTGTGCATGGATGATGGTCTTTGCAGAGTTTGAAGAGTACGTGCAGCTACGTTTACTGAACTGTATTTCTTTAGGTTCGCAGACACTACTTTGTACTTCACTCTGAGTACTATTATTTTGAAGTAGCTGTATCCATTTCTATGTGTTTGCTCTGTTATATATGGGCATCATTCCGTTTAAAGGGGGAAATTTACATACTAACCCTGTCAGTAACTGAATTAAGAGGCTTCAGCTGAGAGTTTGGCCTCTTCATAAATTCCTCTTCACAAATTACGCATCCAGCCTGCAATTCCCCCCTGAGAACATTAGGTGGCAGTACCATCATTATTTTAAGCTTCTGGTCACATTGGGTCTATTGATCGCAGTGTGATACAGGCAATTTGTGCATTTACTTATGACTTCATGACTCAGAGTAAAAGCTTCAGCGGAGTCTGTGAATTACAAGCCACATGTTTTATTTTCCAGCTGAGTATAGCTCACTTAAGACTCATATTAACTGGACTACAGGCCTGTTGTGACCCCTAATGGCAGTAAGTTAAAGATGAACGGTGTTGGGAGTAACGCATTATAAAAGTAATGTACAGTAATGCGTTGATTTTTGCTTTGTAAGGCATTACAGGGGAAAAAATTGTAATATTTTACACGGTACAAATGTGAGTAACGCACGTTACAATGCTTTTTTTAACCTGGATTGAAGTGGTGGGTTTTTCTTCATAGAAATTCGCTAAAATCACCATGAAATCGGCAGCGGTGAAACGCCAGAGACGCGGCCGGATAAACCTTCAGTTAACCGCGGGTGAAAGGACCGACCCAGAACTCTACGCTTTTTAGACCTGGTTTAGACCTGGTTTAGACCTGGGTCACTTCTGGTTTAGACCTGGTTTACAGTCGTCCCTCGCTCTAACGCGGTTCACTTTTCGCGGTCTCGCTGTTTCGCTGTTTTGTTTTTTTTATTTTTTTGTGCAGTTTTGATGCCTTTTGTTTTTAGTGTATGAACACGTATTGCGTTCCTCCCGCTGCGTCCTGATCGATTAAGGGACTCCTGTCTCCTGTACAGTACAGAATGTGTTCAGCTGCCAAATTTAAATAAATGTTCAATCTGTATCAGTGTGATTCTGAAGTGCTGTATGTCTGCAAGTTTTCTCTCCGACAAAATCCACAACGTTGACGAAATGTTCTTCACTGACAAAGTCTCCTGCGCTCACACCCAAAAGACACAGGACGATGCAAACCATCGCACAAAAAGTTAGACTTCTGGACACGTTGAAGGAAGGTAGAAGTTACGCGCTGTAGCAGAGTTTTGCACCGGGTCTTGTACCCGCAAATAGTTGCTGAAATTAGGACCGCGAGCCCGAGCAGCAGGGTGTCTGTAAAGAGCGATCGGGCGACAGCCGCTCTTACCTCCATGAGGTGCGGAGCAGAGCCGCTCCTTTCTCCTGTGGTCTCCTTCGAGCCCATCCTGACAGTGAGTCCTGTTTTAGTCCTAGTTCAGTTCTGGTTTAGTCCTCCTCTTCAGTCCTGGAATCAGTCTGAGGTTAGTCCTGTTATAGTCCTGGTTTAGTCCTGGTTCAGCTCTGGTTTAGTCCTGTTTAGACCTGGTTTAGTCCTGGTTCAGTTCATATACGGCTCAAAAGTTCAGCTTTTTCGCAGTTATTTTGGTGAGAGTAACTTAAAGTAATGCAATAGTAATGTAACGCCTTACATTTTAAATGCAGTAATATTGTAATGTAACGAATTACTTTGAAATGACAGTAATAAGTAATAAATAACACATTACAGTTTTAAAGTAACTTGCCCAACAGTGAAGATGAATGAATAAAAACCTATTCTAATGGCGTGTTTATTTTGTGCCCATACTTGGACACCTTGGAACAGTGTGGATGTATCTGTTGCGTTCATTGACAATTAAAAAGTTGCTGTGCCCAAACCACATGCCGCTTTCCAAAGCACAAAGAACAACTGCCAAGCCTTGATAGAGTTATAATGGATTACTAATGGCGCCAGCAGCTTTAAAAATCTGTCCGTTCCTCTTCAGACCCATCAGGCCAGACGTCCCGCAGCTCTCGCTCCTGTCAGTTTCTCTTTCTTTCTTTCTTTTTTTTTTTTTTTTTTTTTTTTGTCCTAATCATGTTCTCCTGCATAGACCCCATGCGCGTAAGGTGAGGCGCTTTGACAGACGCACAGGCAGAGGCAAGAGCGGGGGAGAGATGGGAAAGGCGCGAGCTTTGGCAGGTGAGAGGTGCAGTACTGGGTAAGGGCGGGGGCCACCTCCAGCTCTATCTGGCAGGTGTAAGGGCAGGGGTTGACTTCATACTCTGGGTCCCTCCCCCCACATTTCTGCACTCTCTGCTCGCCTTGCCCAGTGGCCCCCAGGGTTAAACATGAATAATGAATCCATAGCGCCTTATGGCAAGTGCAGCGCAGCCCCTTTATATACCGCACTAAATATTGTCACAGCACTGTACGTCTGCCTCACTCAGGATGTGTTTTATTTGGCACAGTTCAAAGGGACTCGGTAATGCACAGATTTTTATAGTTGGTTCAGTGAGGTAAGGTGAAAAATGTTGTCAGTATTTACTCTCAGTTTTTTGTTATCCCCAACAGCAGCTCTTTGAGACATTTGCAAGGTGTACATGTAACTTTTCTGGCAATGGGTCCAGAACGTGCTCGAATCCATTTGATTATCTTCACATCATGGCATGTATCTGTTAATTTTTTATATATTTTTTTTAATTAGCCAGAGTGCCTCGGAGCAACGTCATACCTTAGTAAATGTATTCATCATTTCAGAATACAATGTAGAATTTGGGATGTATCTACTTCCATCGAGACAAGCAAGTGACGCCACCCAGCCAAGTCACAGGTCATCTCTGTGGAGACTAGAGGAAAGCTTTCACAGCAAGAACACATGTTTTTTTTCCTTTTTCCTGCATCTATTATCAAATCAAATCTAGCAGACAAATGTAATAGTAATGGCGCTGTGTTCAGTACTATTTCATTTGCAGTTCTTATGAGGTATTATGGGCAAATTTAATATGAGCCACTTCAGGTGATGTGTGCAATTAAGCAAATCAAGTTTTTTTTGGCAGTGAGTCAGGCTAGAGGGTTTTCATGTGTTTCTGTAAATCCTGCACTCAGGGTTATCTCAAGGGCACCCTGGCTTCAGCCCTGATCCAAAGGCATCCATGTCCAGGTTATATGACGTCTCCTAATTGCTCAGAATGAGAGGATGGGGCAGTGGTTGCTTGTCAGTCTTCTTTAGCAATTAACTGAATTTCTAGGGTGTACCTCACCTCAGGCCCATAGTTGCTGTCATTTCATAACAGGAAAAAAAGAGATGAATACTTAGGAAGCCAGGACACCATATACTTGAGTTTTATAGAAAATAAAACTGGCAAGTCTGTACCAATAGGAAAGATCTACATTTTTAAAGCTTTAGTGTTGCTCTCATCTATCTCAGATCAAAACTGCATCCTTATTCTCTTCAATATCCAACACATCTGAAGATTTCTATTTTCTATTTCTGTATTTATATATATGCTGTATATAGTTTCCAATGAATAGGTGCATTTATTCCTTAATGAAATATTAAACAGTTTTTTTTTTTTTTTGTCAGAATAGAAATCAGACCTTTGTGAGTAATCATGTGTAATATATTGTATGGGATTGCATCTCCTGTATTAAAAAAAGGATATTTTTTCTCTAATCACTTAAGATCCAGACAATAACAAATTATGTTGTGAATAGTGTAAATAAACATGTGCAAAACAAACAAAAAACATAAGAAATAACACACCAGGCTAATATTAGTTTCATCCGTTGCTTATTTTATGTATAACAACAGTACAAAGTGAATCTTTCCCTTGCAAAATAGGAGTGTTTTATATTTACAATATTTATACAATAATATATAGTTGTAAAAAAACAAAAAAAAACACAGTAAATGTTTGACAGAATATTGCACGGCACATTTATAAATAAACATATTCACACAGAAAACAGATGAGTTCTGCCATAGGTCAACACTTAACAGGAAATGGGCTCATTATTTCTCTTTTATTTATTCATTTTTTAAATAATGAATCAAGGTCCATTTGGGAGCACTGTTCCCATCGACACAGAAATGGTACAGAGCTTTCAAGTACCATTTAGTGATTTTAAGTACAGTACATAAAAAGACTTGAAAATTTAATCGTTAAAAAGATACAAAACAAAAACCCTGATTAAAACAAAGCCGTTTTACCTTCAGATATGGCAATAAATACAGCAGCGAGCGGACGCTAAGCAGTCTGACAATGTACATCAGGACATAGAAGTAAAAGACACAGTGAAATGTGAAATGGTCCAAAAATATTTAGACTTACAATACATTAACTTCAATACTGCTACTAAAGTCAGATTAAAAGCACTATGTAACTTTTTTGGTGGAGGGTCCGTCACCTGCTTGTCTACATAGAAATGTTATTGTCTGCAATGTCTAACAATATCGCATTAAAAGGTGACACCAATATGCCAAGTTACAGGTCAGATCTGTGGAGAAGGAACCCCACTCACACTAAGAATGCATGTTTTGGCAATAACTGAATCAGCGTAAGATAGATATGTTTAATGCCATACTGTGGAACACTCCGGGCAAAGTAGAGACAAGTTACATAGCACCTTTAATAAATCCACATGTGTTTGAGGCTATAAGGAGCACCTACTTCACCTACTTTCGAGAACAACTGAAAAGAAAATAAAACCTCCAATTTTTATCCCAGAATGTGTTTTGTTTAAATACTTCAATATGTAATATTATATCTGGAAATTGCTGAAATTGCTGTCCCAAACCAAAACAATGAGGATCAGGAACATTTTCCAGGATGTAAATCACAGCACATATTAAAGTGACTGGAGATAAAAGCTAAAAGGAAGGAAAAGGATGCTAGTAGCCATAATTGCTCTTTGTCCTCAGACCTCATATGACATGTCTAAGTACCTTTTTATTCAAATTTTTCAGCTTGAGTGAATATATTAATGTCAATGAGGTTCACTGCAAGTAGGTGTTTCTAATATCTCATCCAATGTGGAATTCAAGTATCACACTCAATGTAAACAATGACTGATGAGAATAAGGGTTGAGGGGACTTGGTGGGGTATGGGTGGGGTCAGTGTCGCCCCATTTGGGTTAATCTGACCCAGGATCAGTGCTCGTAGGGTCCATTAATCATGCTTTCTTCCACAGTTCAATTTGTCCCACATACTTATCTCTGAGTGGCTGAATTAGCGTTCCATAGATCATGACTGTAAAAAATTACCTATCGCAAATGGGATCTGTCTTTTTCTGTACAATGGCATCTTATATTAATAGCTTTCTCCAAGAGCATTTAACATAAATGAAAGATGGGACATATTATATTTGGCAACAAACGCCAAGGATTGGGTCTTGATATATCACCGTATATGTATAAAATATGAAAGTAATGCATTTTCAAGTCTCAGTTCGTTAAATGACAAATGCACATTTTGGCGTACCATGACAGTTTTTGCTAAGGCGATACACTACAGTCAAAGGTACAGATCTCAGAAAATATTTTTAAGGTATTTTTTATTAAAATATTTGATTTTCTTATAAATTTAGTGAAAATTTACAATATTTTTTTAACTATGCTTTTTTCGTAGTGATGCCAATAAATCAAGTAGTAGTGCCTTGTCTTAAACCTTTGTTGACACTTCATAAACAATATCTCCTGGAGACATCAAAAACGGGGTTGACAACATACACATTCCGGCTTTAAATGGTCCCCACAAACCAATGACACTCCGTTTGGATATGTTAAAAAAAAGTCTTTCATTTTTGACACTAAAATACTCTCTTGCTTTTAATAAGTCCCAGTCTTTGTCCGAGTCCGTTCAGTGACTTTTCAAGTTTCACCATTCTTTATTAAGTGCTGTGGTCTTCAGAGATCCAGCCATGCCACGCTCTCACATATTAAGTAAAAACTACAAAGACAAACCATTACCCAGCGGGAAAGCACAGTGCCAAATGCAGCCGCTGCGATGGCCCAAATCCTCTTTCTCTCCCATTCTCTCTTGTCTCTATACGAGCATTTCAGGAGTTGGAAATTTGCCGGTTGGATTTTGTTCTAAAAAGAGGGATGACACTGGACTGGAACGTGGAGCTTTGGGATTCTTCAGTGTTTGATGTGTGCTGTGGTTTGTGTAAAGTATGCATTGTCCTTTTATACATTAGGCCCAAGGCTATGCACACTTTACTGTAAATGTGATTGTACATATGCATTTGTCAACCCAAAATGTAACTATATGACATTTCCACAGAGCCAATAACCATTTAAAGGTGAAGACGCCGAAACTGATAATGTGAATGTTTTACCTGGCATGTTCCACAAAAGGGCAACACATTCTATGAAGTCAAGCAAGTTACTCCACAAATTCTTTTTGCAGTAAAATGTCTGTAACTGAATAAATGGAAGATAGATTTATACCATATTATGGAACATTTCAGGCATAGCAATAATATTTTAGTCAGATGAGAGCTGGTAAACCCTCAACTAGAAAACTGACATCATGAAATTAACCATAAAATGGAAGCACATTTTCAATTCACTAGGGACTAAGATCGGCCTGACAAATCAAATTCTGGACAGTCTTATATACCGGTACTAACACTGCAAATGTTTTGTTGTTTTCTATGACAATAAAGTCTTGAATCATGTATTAATGTGAATTCAGAGATGTTTATCTTGATTTGAGCAGTTTTACTATTTTTGGATTTATCTAGTTTAGATTGTGAATTGCTAGATAATCATTTCTAAAAGCCTTTCAGGTCCCCATTCTGCAAATCCATAATACATCCAATGAGTGAAAGCAAGACTAAACAACGGCAAGAAAAAGCCATGCTAATGATGACCATGGCATGGCATGCTAAGTAGCCAATGTGCCATATACCTTTTATATTACGTTTGCATTACGTTTGTAAATAAATGATTTTGTCCAATGTACTGCCCTAATACATGTCTTGTACATGTAAACTGTGAAATGTCAAATAGCCACAATAATAGGTTCCACTAGTGCACATCAGTGTAGGTGTAAGTGTGTACTTGACTTGTAGTGTGGGGTACAGCTCTCAGCTCTCTGCAGACATGGCGCAGATGATCTGCTCCACTTTATATGCCAGCTTCTGCTTCTGGGCTTGTTCATCGTGCTCCAGTGCCTCGGTGATCTATCGCACACACATGCATGATTACATTAGTATGGTAACTGTGAGCCAGTGAAGAATGGCACAAGGCATGCTATTAGTCAGCTACGGTTTCCAAATGACAAATATGCGCATTATCCATTAAGCAGCCATAACGGATTTACTGATTGCAAGTGATTACACTGTATATAACGTTCACTGTATTTGAAAGTATCGAAAGTCATCAGTTTTTAAATGTCAGTGGTATAACAAAGCAGTCATAATAGGAAAGTCTGATTATTATGGATTGATAAGATGGGCATATCATATGACATTTAGATCTTTTTAATATGATGTATAGGTGCTCGAAACTTGGGAATTCTCCCGCTTAATACCTGCACTATTTTTAGTTGTTTTATATGGATAACAGCATTTTTGTGAATACCTATGGATGGACGTCGCAAATTAGTCATATCTATAAATGGTGGTGTAGCTTGTAACATGTTCAACCTATAGGCTACTTGTCCCTATCAAAATAAATAAATAGTGGTTGATGTAAAATCTGACTACCTGACAAAGTCATGTTCAAAGACAAATATATTTTTCTAGTTCTATTCTATAAAAATATAGTATTATGTATAGAGTGGTATCTACATCACATTTAGATGAACAGAATGCACTGTCAAATTTATTAACATGACGTGACAGCACTGGTACAGGTTCAGTGCCTGCGACCTCGCTGACCTCACCTCTTGGCTGTACTTGCTAACGTAGGTGAAGATCTCATGAAGCGCACTGAGCACGTTGAACTCGCTGGAGTGGAGACGCGCCTGTTCAGCCAGATAGGCATTCATATCCTGATCGCTGATGGCAGGGAGCCGGCTGATGTCAGCGTAGTACCTGAGAACAGACGCGTACAGATCACAGGGACAGTCATGCATGCCACACCTCGCCACTGTCATGTCTGTGCACCTTAATACTACAGCCAATGACAATAACTCACACATGGTACTCGCCAAATAAGCCAATGAATCACACATGCAATATTTATAATCTTTTCACAGGATAGAGCTATTTTTTAGTGTACTTATGTCCAAGGATAGACTATAGTATGAGCATGTGCGTCAACACAGGCAACTATGTTGCCATGATTTATTTTTATTAATTTATCACCTTTTACTCATTTCCTCTCTATCCATGTACATTAAAGGTGCACTGTGTAACTTTCCATGAAGATGATGCCTGGAATGTCCACAGTATTTCATTACACTTATTTATCTATACAGAAGCAGCAGGTGACGCCACAAGGCTAAGTTACATGTCAAATCTGTGGAGAGGCGAGTCCACTCAGAGTAAGAAAGCAAGTTTTGAAAGCAATAAAAGCCCATGTTATCGAGTAAATGCAAGATGGATAACATCAACAACAAAACAATAACATCTCCATGGAGACAAGCAGATGGCGGACAACCCATCAGAAAAGTTACACAGTGCACCTTTAATTCACAATGGTGATTTTTCATAACTCACAAGCAATTATATGAATGGTGACAGCAAGCTGGAAACAACTATGCAAACTAACACAGGGAGCCCTTTTTAATCCTCCAAGAACAAAAGATTCTGCAATTTAGAGGCAATTTTGACTCATCAAATCACCCAACCAATCACAACATGTTTTTTTCTAGATGGTGGAAGGAACCCAGTGTACCCACTCAGAAACCAGAACACTGTTGTTGTCATGTCATCATGTCATCATGTTAAAAAGACTTGCAGAATTTTAATTTACATATAACATATTAACAAATTCAAACAAAATACAGACTGTTCAGCTAAATTAGATGCAAAACTATTTCACAATTAATTTGCACAACATTGAATTTGCCAAAGAAAATTGTATTCCGTCAGCTGGAAAAAATACAACACTTGAACCAATCACCTTCATTAAATAAGGCATTAAATAAAGTCCTAAAAACTGTGAACGTTTTTATCTACTCTTAATGTCAAGAAAGTTGGCTCCTCTAATTAATTTTGATGAATTGGCTTAACTACTTACCGTTCTACCCAGCTCTTGTAGTGTGGGATGTCTTTAGCATACAGTAGTTTGGTGGAGGGTGAGTCTTTGCCAAGTCGATGCTCAGAAGTGGAACAGGAGTCCATGAAGGTTTGGGCCACCACTGATAAACAGGCATCTGTGATACTGCTTTTATGGATATCAAACACAAACTGGGGATTTTTTATAACATTAACCCAGAACCTCAGAGGAAGGCTGTTGAGAGAAAGGAAACAAAAATAAAATTATATGTACACGGTTTTGAATATAGTCGGTAATTTAACTGTAATTTTGATATAATTTCTTTTTAACGTAACAAATTTAAGGTGTATGAGGCCAAGGAATAAGCTTAATCAGCACATCTATTTGTGCTATGACTTAAAACTAACAAAAGCAAAATATAAAACTATAATGAACTGAATGCAGTCTTGATAATATATTGCGTTAGCAGTACAACTAGATTCAGAACTGGCATTTTACATTAAATTTGTAACTTAGCTCATAAACTTTCACATGTTAGAAGAAATCAGTGTTTAGTCATTTCTTCTTTATTATAACTTGATTTTAGCAGTGAATCTATCATAAAGAATTGTGTTTCAGTCCCATCTGTGAGGATCATGCAAATAAATTAGGTAAAACTGAGAGGCTATAATAATGGATACTTGAAGGAATCAGGAGTTTTTGCAGCCTGCTGTTGCCCTTGTTACAACTTTTTCCAATGTGTTAAGTATTATGACTTTAAAAATTGCCTATATTTTGTAAAAAAAAAAACTAAAAAAAAAACTGTCTGCTCTTAATATTATTGTATTAAATAGAATGAGCAATTCACAATACAATGAGTATATCTTTTTTCATCTAACATAGAATAAGGTGTATGCTGTATTTGAAAATTTGACAGTCCTTCCATTCAGCTGGTTAGGGTTAGGGTTAGTTGATTGACACAAATGCTGTAAGTGTATTAAAATGTACTCTCAAGGGCATCTAAAACTCAGCGTAGGTGTCAGTCTCAGAGTTTTCCAATAAAATATGTTGACCGTAAAGGATGTAAGGGTAACAGTTTAATAGGCTGTGAGCATCTCTCCATCAAGCTCGACTTTCTCTTCTGCTGCAGCGATCTGTTTGAAAAACAGTCCTCTCATTGCACTTAAAGGCACTGGTGTGAGACAAGAGAGGCGGGATGGATGGATTTTGTAAGTTGCTCACCAGTTACTCTTCCAGGTGTGGCGCACGTCCATGTCATGAATGCCATGTCGATCTGCCTGCTCGTCCAGGAAGTCGAACATGTACTTAATGGCTAAAGGCAGAGCGGTGCCTCGACACACAGTACTGAAAAGAGTCTCAAATAAATCGTCCACAAACTTCTGCAGTGTGCCCTGAAAAGAAACGTGTGGTAAGACTGACGGATACTCAAACACTTCACAGTAACACAGCAAATGACACAATGACACCATAACCTTATGATGAAACAATAAATAAAATATACCAGTGTAGTAGGTATCGAAATCCTGATACTACTCGATGCTAATACTAGAATTGAAATTCGATGCTTGAACAAGTATGAATCGTGAAAAAAATTGGACAAAATCGACCCTTTTGTTATAGTCTATTAATAATGAATATGTTAATGTTAAAGAAACTTTTTTTTTTTTTTTGAGTAAGTCAACTCCTCTTCTATTGTCTAACAAAGAGTGCTGTTAGTTGGTATCAAAATCAAGATCAAGTATCAAGTCCTTCATATTGAAATTAAGTAAAAAATTTTAGTATTGTGACAATTTATTAATAACGTATATTTTTGATCTTTGTTATTATATGATATTGTAACGTGTCTCCAAATGTCTCCAAATTAAAGTAAAATCCAAGTCTGAGTGTAGACTATAGTACCTTTGTGGCCAGTAGCCTGGTCAGGTAGATTTCTGACACCATTTTGCTGCCTCTCTCTCCTTCTTTCTGGTCACCATGATCGTGGTTCTTCACCAAATGCCAGACTTTCACGCCACTCTCCAAATCAGGGGTCAGCATGGGCACCCGCGAGTGAGGGCTGTCCGGACTGGTGGGGGTGGACCGGAATGGAACATCCACACCTACTCACAAAATAAAATGGTCATCTCAAACTGGGATAAAGAATAACTGTCTCTTAAGGCTTTCTTTCCTCCCTACAAGCAGATAGACTGTATAATCTTTCACAGTCATTATTTCTGTTGTCATAGTGATCATATTATTTGCAGTGCACCGGATGTGAAATTCAATAAGACTATTTATAACAATGTGGACAATAGGCATCTATCCACAATATCATAGTTATTTTTACTCCTTAAGGACTAAATAATGCATATTGTATCCCTTTAATTTATATTTATGTCATGCTGGGATTATTACATAATAATAATGATGAGTTAAACTTTTTTTTTCTATCTCTTTAGGGCCTTTTCTTTTTTTATGTCCTTGGCCAGAGGAAATATGGTTGTCAAGTGGAACCCAACCTGCATGTTCAGTCAGCAAGGGCAAATTAGATTCACCACTTCACCTCAAACATCTCTGAATGATGGGAACAAGCCAGGCTAACCTGAGAGTTTAAGAGCTAACCACTCTGCCACCATGCACACCATAATTTCCTTATAGATGTACACTAGATAGCTTGGAAACATCTTTTTGTGCTCTCTATGCATAAGCCATAAAAAACTATAGTGATTTACAGCAATTTGCCTCAAGTGAACTCCAAGTTTCTTTGAGCAACTTATTTTGAACTAGACAGAGCTTAATTGAATCTTTTGATATCACTGTCTTGAACACACTATATCTGTATGTGTTAATAAGCACTCTGCTAGCACGATCACCGTTGGCAACAGATGGTGCACAGTTTCCAATGAAAGCATCCGTACTGACCATATCTGCTGATGCTGCGAGGGAAGCTGGCTGACGAGGGGATATTGAAAGAAGACATCTGCTTGGGCACCAGGGCCACTACACAGCGATCCGACACCTGCAAAACAAAAGTAAAAACGTGGTGCATCTACTTTTTGGTAATGAGACAGCAGATGTTGGGTCAGGAGTAATCAGTGAAAGTTGGTATTTACAAAGAGTTTGGTAATCACCGACTTAGCACAACACAGATGGTGTCAGCTCCAAGATTGAATCAGGGAACACTATTCTTGAGAGGAATACTTTAAGACAAATGAAAACTATTTGTAAGAGAAATGCCTCCAATGTAAATTCATAGCCGTGGCATTTTGAGATGTTAATGCTTAGAGCTCAAATGACAGATGACTATGCGCTCTCTGTAAACAACAATGTCTGCGCGCTAGTTTTTATTTTGCTTGCTAAAAGAAAAGCCATTCTCATTCCTGCTTTCTAATTCAATGCATACAATAAAACATCAAAACACAACTGACAAAATGGATAGAAATGATTGTGAAAACAATTGTGCCAACAGCAAAGACTAGACAAAACAAACACTAAAAGGGAATGATTCATACAGGGTCACGACCTTTGAAGTTCATGAGCAAAACAATGAAAAGACAGAAAGAGAATTGGTTGACTAAATGTGTCAGAGACCATGAAGCTTAAAATGTTATCCGGGAGTGATATGAATATAAATTAGTAATGCTTTGTCCGTCAGGGTGTATGGATAGTTGCAGTTGGAAAGCAGGTGGAAATAAACTGTGGAATTGGTACTATTTAAATACTAAAATATATCTTGTATAAAATTATAAAGATAAGCTGTCTCACATAACTATTCCAGTTATGGACAATTAAACTGATCCCTCAGTTACGAGAAATTAAGCGTGTTAAAATTTGCAGTTCATTTTACTTGCACTTGTACTTTGCATTGTACCTCTAGGTCTTTTCTATTTGGGTTGTAACAAAATCTTGTCAATAGCTTACACAGATGAATCACCACCACAAAAGTCTTCTTACTGGGAATCAATAAATCCTAAAATAACTTGGTGAAATCAAATATCTCCCAAATGCAGCTCCTGGCTCTGTTCGAGTTTGTTTCTGTACCTGATAATGCAATAGCGTGTTCAGTCTCTTCCAGTCACTTTCGATTTTTGTTGTGATGTCCTCGTCTTGAAGGACCACTCGCGCTGTCCTGCCCTGACGCCACTCTGGAAGATCAATGTGACAAGCTTTTTAGAAAAATCTTCTTCAATTCCTGTTGCTATGTGTCTGCTCTGGCAAGTGAGGTCGTTTGGGTACAACTTTGAACAGCATAGCAATGTATTTCTCTTAGAGTGGGAGTTACTCAGAAAAAAATGATTGATTATCTGCAAATGTCTTGAAGTATTGAAGTGGAGAAATATCACCCCTGTTTGGAAGATTACAAGAGAAGTTCCTGTTGTTTTTAGTTTGTTACAACTATTTTTGGAGATTTTTTCTTGGTTATGTTCAGTATTATCTAGTATACTTTTTATATCTCCACCCAGCTCTATTTTACAAATATTATTTACTGAACACTAACATTAAATGTTTTGAACCACCCACTAATCCGCATAATGAGGGGATAATCTTATTCACTTCAACCCGTCAGTGGTTGTAATGTTATGCTTGACTGGTGTAGTTTCATGCTTGTTTAAAGTAATCCAGTCTTCAAACAGTACTAGTTTGTAGAAGATGCCAGTGGAAATGTCAGGTGACGTCTTCCATGTTTCTATCTGACAAGAGCACTGATTAGAATTCTGTAAACAACCATCCACTGACATTGTGTTATTGTACAAAATCAAGCCGCTCAAAGCTACTAGACTTGTCTCCCAATCTCCAAACTGAGACCACCCTTATTCACAACTCCCACCCAGGGCGATATCCAGTGGTGCCCAGACTTCCTTTTTGTGCCTCATCAGCCTGACTCTTTTGGCGCAGGGGTGACATGTGGTGGGAGTGAGTGTAGGTGTGCTGTCACCCGGGTTTAGCGTCACTGTTTGAGAGTAGTGTCCTGATTACCAGTGTAAACAGGTACACGAGAGAGACTTCCAAACAGGAGACAGTAAGTCCTCTGTTCATGCAGTACACTAAAGACTCATTAAAATAATCATCCCAAAATTATGTAAATATTTTTTCATCATTATTTGTAAAAAAAAAAAAAAAAAAAAAAAAAAAATATATATATATATATATATATATATATATATATACACACACACACACACACAACATAAATAAATTGTTGCAACTGCTGTAGGGCAATGTGTCTGCCAATGTTATTGTTATATGTATATTGCTATGTTTTTATGGATTTCAATTTATATATTTTTTTAAAGTTTTTGGAATTCATTATTAGATAACTACGTTTGGAGACTTTAAAGGAGCTCTGCTTATGTATAAGTCTCTCCATGGCCTATAGCACTTAAGTACATATCTGTCATATTAGTGCCATGTGAATCATCTTGCACTCTGAGGACTGGCCTCCTGCTGGTGCCCAAAGTCAGGACTAAATATTGGGAGCCAGTGTTTCAGTTTTATGCAGCTAAAATCTGGAACAGTTTTCCTTAACATGTGAGACAGGCCTCTTTCTGACAATGTTCAAATCTAGGCTCCAACTGACTTTATTCTGTGCAATTGTCTTTTAAAATTAATCTATTTATGCATTTATTGATTTATTGTTGCAAATCATATTGTAATTTCAATGTCTTCCTTGTTGTGTAAAGCCTTTTGAATTATTTTTATATGAACAATGCTCTACAAATACAATTGCCTTGCCTTATACTGTATGTGCACATATTTTTGTAAGCATAAGAAAATATATTTATATATTTTATATTTCCATTTTTGCTTGTGCATTCTTACCCAGATCCATGTCTGCAGCCCTCGGCCTCTGTGAATATGGCATGTTCTTGTAGACAGCATCCAGGATCTTTTCCTTCACCTGCGTGATGGTGTCACAGTTGAGCACCTTGACAGGGATCTCGGGGCTGTTCTCATTGTCTGGATTCACACAGCTCAGTGTCTGGGGGAGTGAAAGAGAGAGAGAGCGGAGGTGTTGCTTACTAGGAAGGTCCTTTCATTACCTGCTCTTCACCAAACTGTCCTGGTGGAGAGGATCTTGGCCTCAAATGTAATTTCACACCTCCAGGATGTGGCTGTGTGGCTCTGGCAGGTATTAAACAAGTAATGAGACACACAGGTTCTGCTGCGCGGTGACATGCGATCAGAGAGGTGTCATCCTGTCGCCGCCTGCTTCTGCTCTGGAGCTAAAGCCTGGGGGAAACTTATTCAGAGGGACCCCGCCGACTTCATTTTAATGGAAAAGTAACCATACTGAGCAAAAGTTTGAGGCTGAGGTGACAAAGGTGCTGATTAATTCCAATGTTTTGATTTTATTTGGTTATCAACAATAATTATAATGGACAAATGAAATTTTAAAGAAATACCCCAGGTATCATTTGCAAAGGAATTCAGTTTCTTTTTTGATTATAATGATTTTGCATTGATATCGTCTTGTAAAGCATTGCAATTTGAGCACAATTCACACTAATACAGCAGGTTCAAAGAAGAGAAAATCAATGCACCAATACAGTATAGTCAATGAAATTTGACCCTCCAGGAATATCTATTACAATTGTGAGAAATAAGAGTTTTGTTACACAGTGTTGAGCCTTAACCCTGAACTACATCTGCAAAAAAAAACATCCATTCTGATGAAAGTTTGTGTTTATATAACTTACTTCATACATTGCATTTCTTAAAAACTTTCCTGAGACTTTTGCACAACGCTGTAAGAGTCCTCACTAACACTGTGTGAAACTTTGTGTGAACACTGAGCACAACAATTTAATCTCCTCAAAGAGCCTCATTAATCCTGGTTATTATCTTCAGCTATTACAAAGGGAGCGTATTCAATTGCTGTTTTGCTTTGTGCGCCGGAATGACTCACCAGCGTCTTGTATTCGATTTGTTGTCGGATGAGTTTGTCTTCGCTCAGGGAGTAGCGAGCCTCTCCTGTGATGGAGTCAATGGGTCCCTTCTCCATTTGTTGCTTGATGGCACAGAACAGCATGAAGAGGGGCTCTCCAGCGCACTCCTGAGTTATACAAGTGAAAAATGGGGAATACAATAAAAGTAAGTAGAGGTAGATGGGGCATTGGTCAATTTCAGAGGATGAAAATAGGCCGGTAAATTTCAGAGAGGGAAATGGGGAACTAGTTTGATGGGTACTTTCTCTTGTTTGGAATGAGCTATGGGAAATCAAAGCTCAAAGGTCTTTGGTCTTTTGACTTTAACGCATCCCTAATACCTGCACACCTACAACTATAGTATTAATGTAGTTTCCTGTAGTATAAACTGAGTAAAAATACAGTTTTATGTATAGTTTTATTATTTATTTATTTATTTATTTTTATTTTGCCTCTGCTTATCCCAGTGGACATGCTATAGCTTTGCCTGGAATGTTCCACAGTATGGTATTAACATTATCCATCTCTATGGAAACAAACAGATTATGCCATCAGGCCAAGTTACAGGGCAGGTTACGTGGCAACTCGAATCGTAGTAAGAATACACGTTATTCAAAGTATTTGTGACAATACAAAACCTGTAACAGAATAAGTTTCAGACATCCAAGACAGATGTTTGATGCCAAGACAAATATTTAATGCAATGTAGTGGATCATTTGTGGCAAAGCAGCACCAGAAAAGTTAGTGCACCACCTTTAGCCAAGTTGTTCAGAACAAGTCATATACCACATGATCAAAACAACAACACTGATGTCTGTCATGTGGTCAACCTAACATTTTTTTCTTTGTAAATCTAATAGTTATTTCATTAGCAATCATAATTCTAATTTGCTGCCTATCAATGTCTAGTTGTTTATTTATCAAGCAAGGCGGCAATAATCGGTATGTGTGTAATGCATCTTATTTGCAAATCAACAGCAGTAATTTAAAGCATTACTCTCGTCTATCTGGCTGACACCTGTAGCGATATGGCCCGACAGAGATTTGATTTTACCTTGAGAAACTTGTGGAGCAAGAAGGCGAACCAATTTGTCAGCATCTTCTCTGCCACCGACTCGGTTCTGCCGACAAGAAAGAAACACTCATTTGTTAGCAAGAGACAGCGTCCCACCGAGAGCCTGAATGCACTGATTATTCTTGTATAATTTAAGACCCACAAGAGCTCGACAGAACGGGAGACTCAAAACACTACAGCTGCTTCACTGGGTGGTAACTAGAACTAAGCCATGTTAAAACAAGCCACAGTTTGTGATTGTTATTGTTCTTTAGATTTGAGGGGTAAATTCTTGCCCAGTAGCACAGCCTTAGAGAATGCACACTTAGAGCATATTTGGGTCATGACATAATTAAGCATGGATCATAGATGGCCACTTCAAGCTCTTTTGCTTACTTCTGCTCCGCTTAGCTACTTGACATTAGGCCAAATGCAAAACTGTCCATGACTGAGGACACATTAGATGTAAAATAATAAGTCTCTATTTTCAATTCTTTTTAGTGATTTGACAAAATGTTTCAGTAGATATCATGATGTAAATTTAAAAGTCAAAAGGTGAACATGATTGTCAGTATTAAGTCCAACATAATATAGAGTATAAAAATAGCAAATCTGATCAACAACACTAAGACAAAATCAAGTCTAAATCAGGATCATACCAGGTCAAGACTACAAAACTGAAAGCTATAACATGTTCAACATTAGAATTTCTATGAAAAAAATTAGACATACAAGGTTTATTCAAAGTCAACATTTTATTTTTAGTGATGGGTATTCTAAACCAGGACCAAACTAAATTAGTACTAAACCAAAGCTATACTAGGGCCAAGCAAGAGTCTAAACAAGGCATTAACAATATTTAAGTATTATGCAGCCTACCACAGTGAAAAACACTTCTCCCAATGAAAGAGAAAATCTCATGAAAAATTCAGTGGGGCAGTCTCAGCAATGGGAAAACAATTGGTAGTCAAGTAGAGGTAGCAGTAGGAAGAGGAAGAAAGGCAAGAGGTGATGGTGAAGCAGGAAACCTAAGCCATGGTTGAATTTTTCATGAGTGGCACAGTGAACAGAAGCTAGACTGACAACAACTGCGCAGCACTCACTCTTCCATATTAACTTCTCCTCCTCTGCTGGGCCCTCCTACTCTCTATCACTACTGTCTTTCACCTGTCCGCCTGGTTGTTCGGCTCATAGCAGTTGTTTCACGCCGCTGCACAAAACAAAGCTGAAATACAGGGGTAGGGCCAGGCCTCCCTCCACTGGCCTAGTTATTCTGCCATCAGAAAGGGATGCTAACTGGGCTGGAAAGAACAGCACGCACAAGAATTATATTTGCCAAAACATAAGCAGCAGCACTGATCACAAATTGTCAGCTTTGGGACATTTGGGACTTTAATTCGTCCTCTGAGTGGTATTTATAGAGGAAATGAGGCTATAAAGTGTTGGCTAACCCAAATTAAAATCCACAGTACTGTAGGGCATGTGTAAGATTTACTTGGCTAATCTGTTTTGTATAAAAGAAAACCGTCAATAAATGAATTAATGATTACCAAATGGTGTCAGTTGTTATTACATTTTTTTGTTCATTTAACACTTGCCTCATTCATTGCTTCAGCAAACACTAGAACTGTCAAACAGTTGTTCTTTTTTCTCTTAAATGGTTTTCATAACCAGTCTTAAAGTCTTGACTGGTTCTGAAACCATTTAAGAGAAAAAAAGAACAACTATAAGACTTTAATACATCACTGTACGCAGAAACTTGAGGCAAGGTGTGCAAAGTGTATTGCCCAAGGACACAACAACAGTGTGCATTATTGGTACTTTGCAGTGACATCAGGCTGCGGATATTCTGTATGTATGTGTATGGTGCAATGTTCAGCAGTTACCATGGTGACACAAAGCACATTTTAGCAAACACTGTCAAAAAGTTTCAAGAAAAAAATAGATTTATTTACACACACATTTACCTGTGAGCAATACAAGTGTTCGTGGTCCTGTTTATGAGTTTAATTTTCAGCAAAAAGGTGAGCATGCAAAAATGTTGGCTAATGCTAGCTTGTGACTCATGTGACTGCTGTTTAGGATGGTTGAAAACACAACTTAGATGCTGCCGCAAAATGTGTTCTTTATTGTCAGATTGTAATAAAAAGTGTCTCAGATTAAAAAGTCTAACAAATCTTCAGACAGAGCATGCCTACAGTTAGCATCACACCTCCAGGGAATGTCAATAACATCAGCTGCAAAGGATCGAGCCACTGACCTTTGAAATCATGGCTCAACGGTCTATAAACTGAGCCGCAGCTTTCTACAGCCCACTGACTTCACAGAAGTTGTATTCCAGCATGTGTACATTCCTGCTATGATGCTGGTTGTTATGAAACTTGTGTGGTGGGATTAGCAATTATCATTCACCAACAAAACACCATCAAAATGTAAATTATGTTAGTATTAACTCCGCAATCTCCATAATGTTAGTCAGCGTAATTTTATTACCAAAACTGGTAATCACTTTAAAAATGGGAAGTTTAATTTATTGAACCAACATTCATTTGCTATAATACATACCCATTATTCTATTATTCTACAGCGCTCTATTCAACACCAGTTTGTTGGGTTACCTGCGCAGGAGTAGCTTGGGGTGGTTCTTGCTCTCCAGATTGCGCTCGATGAGGTCAGACAGCAGATGTTTGAGGATGTCGGTGGCGTATTCCAGACGTCCCTGCAGAGCAGTCATGATGAGAGAGGCCACATAGCCTCGGTCACGCATCGAGAAAGACCGCTGAAGCTCCAAGGTCCGAATGAATGTCAAGAGGAACACCTTGTTATTCACCAGCTGAGCAAACTGTTTCAGAGCCTTCTCTACGCCCACCTGTCCGCTGCCCGGCACCTGCACACCATAGGCACATTATTATAACTCCTCAATAGAGCTCGGGATCAGGGTGGAACTTTATTTTACTGTCCAGATGTGCCAAACATCAATATGGATTAGAAAAAACAGAAACACAACTGGTAAATGCATTAATTGCACTAGTGTCAATATACTTTTGAACAAACCCTACATTTAGTAAAGCTTAAACTATCCCTTTGTTTAATAGACTGAAAAAATTATCTTTTTAGGATGTAACAACAATATCAATCTCTATAGGCCACATTTTTAACATTCTAGATTTTGGGTGAATAGATGTCATGCATTCAGATAGGGGCCTATATCACTGATTCTGAAAGAGAAATTAAAGAAAATCCACAATTAATTTAAACATTATTTTCAAGTGTTTGATTGGGTCCACAAATTTGCAATGAACAGACAATAAACACTCATTTATGATTGAGTAATGTCACCACAAAATGTTTTTTGTGCTGAGAAACAAGACAGTTTTGGTATTGTTTTTTTTTTTTTTTCCAAGTGGATAGGCCAAGTAATTACAAAGAAGTAATTACAAAGAACCCATTAACCAGGACAAAACATCAGGATTCTGACATTTATATGAAAAATCCTGACATGCCCCAGCTCAGCTTTAGTTGAATAAGAAACTAACATAAACAAACCTATAAGACTTTAACAAAAATGTTGATTAAAAAATGGGGTGATGTTGTTCCATCTCTCATATGTTTTGCTTCAACCATTTTAGACCAAAATACATTAGGAGTGCACTGTGGAAGAGTAACGTGCATGATCTCCCTGTGAAACTGTTCTGTCAAAATTCTTTGACTTTCTATGAATGTAAGCTAGGGTGTTTTCTCTCATTTCAGCCCTGTAACAATAAGGTCATTGTGGAGTCCACTGCAGTGTAGTATTCCACCAGCAGTCACTGTTGTGCTGTATTTCAGCCACAAATTGCTAGTCAGGTACCCATGTATTTAAAATGAGTCTGGATTATAATCACCTCCTAGGGCCTCTTGCAATCATTGTTAAATGACACAGCAGGGTTTAACCTAATTTTGATTGAGAAGTTTACAAATTGCTTTAAGTGTTAATAGAATGCCAATGAACTCAAGTCTGATAGGAAAAACTTAAGAGGCCTGGAAAGGAAATTACAATAGAGTATAATATGTTGAAAATATATGAGACTACATGCAGGTTACCAGGCATGTTTGTTTTGAAGCAAACGGAGCATACGTGTCTTTGATTGGTTAATCCATATGTCAATCATGCCCTCTGAAATCAAGGAGACAGGCTCCAGATCCACTCATCTTTGTAAAGGTTTGGTAAAGCATGTGGTTCTGGCTAGACAGGTAAATATGCTACAGGTCTCTTTAACATGCAAATAGTAAAAACATAAGAAATGTCATCAGGCAACCTCCAGGGTTGAGTTCAAGTTTGAATTTAACTATCAGTGAAACAGCAATCTTACTTCTAGTTACAACAATTTTGTTAGTGCTGCCTGTTGAAAGTTATTATTTTCAATGAAAGATACTGAAAACACACAACAACTTTGGCATTAGACTCAAATCAATCAACTTCAGGATGTGTTCCGGACACGTCTGCACACAGTGTTCTTAACCACTGCGGCGAGTAGACTGGCATTCACTCACGCCGCTCCTCTTCCCTCGACACTTTGACAGATCTTGCCAATGCAATAAATCAGCGAGTCTGAAGTATACTCCAGACATAAGGTCAGAAACTTCAAAGAAACAGAGAGAGAGGCTCCAGCACTTGACTCACCTCCAGCTCTCGAAGCACAGGGTGATCGTCAATGCCGGGGAAGAGGACTCTCATGGCATAAGTGCGGTAGTCCAAGTATGGGATGCCAGCACGGTCGAGGTCACTGGTCAGCTCGTTGATGTCTGTCTGGAGCTCTGCAAAGGCTGCATTTAAATGAAAAGTACACAACTGTTAATACAGAATGGAAAATACTTTTGTTGAACTTGGCAGTATTCGGGTGGCCCTCACACATTGACATTTCCGACCCAAGTTCAAACTTCAAAACAATCCCAAAATTAGAAAATCCTACATGGCTGTTTTGCATGTCTTGCCTTGTACAAAAAACAAAACAAAAAAACTAGATAAAGAGCAGTGTTGGGGAGTAACAGATTACATGTACCAGAGTTACGTAATCAGAGTACAAATTATGAGTAACTGTATTCAGTTACAGTTACTGTTTCCATGAGAGGTAATTGGATTACAGTTACTTTGTTGAAATAAATGAGATTACACGGCGGTGTTTTCCTGTTTTCACATTTTGGGCTATATGCCTTTCTTTTTTCTTTTTTTTTAACCAAAGTCTAAACCAGGACTAATTCAGGATTGAACCAGGACTGAACCCAGGACTAAAACCGGTCTAAACTAGATCTAAACCAGGTCTAAACTAGATCTAAACCAGGTCTAAACTAGATCTAAACCAGGGCTAAAACCAGGTCTAAACCAGAGCTAAAACCAGGTCTAAACTAGATCTAAACCAGGTCTAAACTAGATCTAAACCAGATCTAAACCAGGGCTAAAACCAGGTCTAAACCAGATCTAAAGCAGAACTAAAACCAGGTCTAAACTAGATCTAAACCAGGACTAAAACAGGATTTAACAGGACTAAACCATGCCGTGCGGACCATGTCTCCTCCTCTTCTATCAATAATATTTTTTAATTTGGTTAAGTAAAGTCTGGGTTTTTTATTTTCTTTTAACAGACAAAACATCTTATGTGAAGATTTCCTCGTCTTTGCTTCTCTACAGCAAATCAAGTAATACAAAGTATTCAGATTACGTTACTCACTTTAAGTAATTTAATGGATTCCGTTACAAACTACATTTTGGGGTATGTAATCTGTAATCTGTAGGGGAATACATTTTAAAAGTAACCTTCCCAACACTGATAAAGAGAATAATTAGATAATTCAATAATTAGATCTGATATTTTGATGTGTGTTTATATCCACATTAACACTTCAAAAACACCTGAAGGTGAATGAATTTGGTGTGCATGGAAATTTAGCCAATGATGACTTAATTTGTTCCCTGACCTTCTTTACACTCGAGAGCAACGCGTGATTCCAGGTTGTCCATCTGCATCTGCAGCCTCTTCAGCGTCAGGTCGTTCTCATGCGACTTGCGCCTGTAAGCCAGCAGCACCATGATCACAATGATGAGGAGCAGCCCCCCTCCAGCTGCAATGCTGAAGATAGCCGGCATCGTAAGAAGACTGTCTGAGCGGATATGTACTTCACCCGGGGAGATGTGGAGACCTCCCACTTGTACCTATGGGGTAAGAGGAGTGCATTCAAGCTAAATCATTCACAATTCTGTACAGTTTAGGTTTTTGATTAGCTGTGGACATTTGTTGTTTGTTTGAAGTCAGATATGCAATTGCAAACTGCATTTTTGCATTCTGAACTATCAGTGTTCCTACTGTCATACACAGGTACAGTAAGTAGGGTTGATTCACAAGAAAAATATTAAAATAAATACTAGGGATGTAACAATAACTGAAATGTCATGATATCGTATCATCAAAGTTCTCACAATAATATCGTGGACCATCACAATATATCAAAGCCACAAGTCTCTTTGCTTAAATTAAGAGTTATGGTGCAGCAATAAGAAGACGGCGGAACTACATAGACCATGAACCTTTGCTTCATTTCAAAGTAAACTACAAGAAGAAATAACAGTTCAAAGCACTTTTAAGTCTTAGTTCTTTGGATTAAGTCTTGTCAAGGCATTTTAAGAGGAAAAAGTAGCATATTAACCTCCACATAATATCGCCATAAATATTGTACCATGAGATGTATATTGTGAAAATATCGTACTGAGAGATTTGGATATTGTTACATCCGTAATCGTGAGCAGCCCACCATATCGTGAGCTTTCCCACAATATTGCAATAAATATCGTATTGTGAGGTTCATACCGTGACGATATTGTATCATGAGACTTGGATATCGTTACACCCCTAATAAATACTAATACTAAAATAAAATATACAATTTTATGATATGATATACAGTATGCATGTAGTGGATGTCTATGCTATGTAGTATTGATGCTACAACTACTGCTACAAAGAAAGTACCAGAAGTGTTTTCACATTTTTAATCTCTTCTATTGTTGTTATTTTTCTCAAATGACTATAGTCAATGTAATGGACAATTACTAAAAACTCTTATTTTGTCCTCTACAGTCTTTTGTGTGCAGGGGTGGCCATCAATAGCTCCGTGGGGCGATTGAGAAGCTAGTGGACCATAAGGAACGAACAATGACAAAGGGACAGCGGTTAGCCCAAGCCTGACGTTGACCCACAAACACAGCTCTGCACAGAGGAGCAGTGACCCACATTGACATAGACAGACAATCAGCAGACAGCCGTGACAGTGTGAGGCAGGCGGACTGACCAGGATTTTGTGTTGTCCGGTGAGATTTGGAGGTTCACAGAGCAGCTGTGTGTCAGAGACTGTCAGAGAACATGGTGTATCTCCAATCAGCACAGTGTAGTTGAGCCTGGCCCCTCCTGATGCAGATGGGACAAGGTTACGGCCCTGTGCAACAAAGAGACAATGTCAATACACAAAGCAATTAGCGTGTATTACGTGGCACAACAACTGTGTCCTCAGAAATGGTATGTCATTTAAATCTGGGGCCAAGGACAGTTGGTCTGTATCTCCAAATAAGAATTTATAGAATACACTCATGATTAAAGTATGATGTTTTCCTCCAGTAAGTGGTTATAACCTGAGTGCTAAAATAGCATTTCATCTGCTTATGTTGATTTTATAGGTTGGTTGTTGATGTCAGATAAGCCCACCCATTTACAATAAAACTCAATATTATGCTTCACGGTTAGTGATGTGAATATTACGTAGTTACTGTTTATTGCACAATATGTATAACAGAATTATTAAGAATTAAACAGTCTCCCATCAAGATTTGTTATTGCACAGATGCGTGAATGGTGATCTTTCTTTTCTAAATGTTATAATTATATTATTATAATATTGATCTTGTAGCCTAAGGTTATTCCACATTGGTTGGAATTGGATTGATTTCATATTGTACTAAAATCTCATATTTTGTGTGCTTACTGTTACACTAGAGAGCAACAGAAGATGACATACTTTGAGAATGATAGGAGCTCCAGGTTTCTGCTCCAGGACCCCGGTCAGACTGAGGGGCTCAAGATAAGGGTTCGGGTAGTACACAAAGCTGGTGTTGTTGTAGGTAAGCAGAGCTTGGACATTGTTAAACACAAAGCCAAACTCGTCCACATGCTTAACGGTCTCCTGGTCTGCAGTGTACTCCGCTTTCAGGGAGGGGGCAAAGCAGCTGATAGTTGTCCGATTCAGCACTTTGCAAACCTGCAGAAGAATCATAGAAAGAACAAATTTAATATTAGATTATTATTTTAATTGTACATTATTTAGATAAATTGTGAAAACTGTAACAATTATGTTAAAGCATATTCAAACCAGCACCATTTTGAGATGTTGCTAATCAAGTTAATAGTAAAAAGTATGCTATGTCATTTTTTTATGCCATGAAATATAATTGCTATGCCTGGTGTTCCACACTGTGGCGTTAACTTTATCTATTTTGCCTTTATTTTGTGTTTTATTGTTAAATCAATACCTTAAAAAACAGGAATTGTTACTGTGAGTGGGGTTCCCCCTCTACAGATTTTAACTGGTGGCACAACCTGCTTTTCTTTTTGGGGAATGATGGATTTGAGTTTAATGTAATGCTGTGGAACATTCCAGGTAAAGCAATAACATCTTCACTGTAACAAGCCGGTAGCAGATCCCCCACCAAAATAGAACACCTTTAAAACATAGTATTTGCCCTGTAATCCAACAGTTGGCAATTCAATCCCTTAGAGAATACTGCTGTTGTGTCTCTTTTTCTACACTGCTGTATTTCTAATGTTATGCCTCATTTGTGCCTTATTAACGTCTTTCAGCAAATCCATTTAATACCCGTTCAAATTGTCCTTGAAACAGTAAGCCCTTAATGTTGTCTGTAAAATTAACCTGATTTCTTAAAATACACCAGACAACCCTTCTCACCTTTTGTTCTAGTTTGTCAATTGTGTGATTCTGAGATGCCAAACAATATTCTGAGTTTTGAAGATATGTTTGGTAATGAGCTCGCCCTCATTAAAATTGCTATGACCCTTTTTAAACTGCTGATTTGTTTGAGAGTTCAGATTTAATCCCTGAAGATGTTAGTGCTGACAGTGATACTGAAATCCTTGCTGCTTTAATTGACTAGCTCAGATTCTGTGCTGGCATCATTAACACTGAACCTAATTGCTCAAGTGCATTCTTCTGATACCCATGTCTGCAATGCAGTAATGAAGTATTGATGATATAGGTGAAGTGTACAAGAATCCTGTGCGTTTTCAAATAGTTGGAGCACAAATACTTATTTCAAGTTTTTCATAAAATAATCATTATTTTAGATATGCAAATCTATGAAAAGTATTCTGAGCTGAGAAAATGTTTAGTAGCCAAAATAATATTAGCCAGAGCAGTACCCTTTTCCTCACTATTAAATACCAAAAAGGTCATGTAACACATGTACTAAAGTTTTGCCTGAAACTTCCATCCCAAAGTGTGGAGGCTTGTGAGCTGCTGTTGTGGACCCTCAGGCTACATTCTGACTGGTCCAAATTGGAAAAGGTAAGGCTAAAGGTGAGTTGACTTTTGCCATCGGGGCTCTGTGCTGTGGAACCATCAATCACTTTGAAGCCACCTGCCCGCAGAGCTCCGCCAGCAGACTGAGGAACATAAATCACACTCCAGAACCAAGTTGTACCTCATGTATTTTTTGTAAACCAATGGCTTTCCCTTGTTTCAGTGGCCCACAAGATTATTTTCAGAATTAAAGGTTAATTTGAAAACTAAAACAAGCCTCTAAATAACTGTTTAAGTTTACTGCTTTCATGTATAAAACCTAGGGATGTTACATTTCGCTTCAATGAGTCTTTTTATTCCAGACTCTGTTCTATAGGCACACTTTAGAAATAGTTTTGTCTCCAGTTACTTTTGATATGGCTATAATTGCTGCCAGGCAGAAAGGGAATTAAGAAGAACAAGTTGCATAGCGGATAATAATTAATTTTAATAAGACATGGGGAAAAACTCAGGTTACTTAAGCATTGATTTGTCGTGTGAAACAAAATCCAGGCTCCATCTGTTTTTATGGATTTGCTCCTAAAATTAATTGGCTCAGCGCTATATCTGAGTTTATGAAATTCTATGCGGTAATATTTTTTACCCAATTCTGCTGACACAAAAGTGCACGTAAAGTCATAAAGCTGCTTGGAAGACCTATAGAAACATAATATACAACCTTATTGCAGTACCATTTGCATGTATTATCTGCATTTAGTCGCAAAAATATGCAGTTTTATGGGAAACTGTATAAATATAGACTGTATAGTGATGTGATTGTGTCCAAGGTAGCAAACAAAGAATATGAAAATGTATATCTTAAATTGCTTATGTCTTACTAACTGACACATGCTGTACAGGTGACTTATAAGTTACATAAACTTGAGTAATAACTTACGTTGACGGATTCATGGCCGGCGTATTTGACTCTGACACGTGGCTCTTGGACCACATCTAGGTTTGTTCCTGTGACAGTCAGTGTGGTGTGCCCGCTGCAGGAAAAACACAGCTCTCAGTATGCGGCATTGAACAGACAAACAAACAGGAGGAAAAAAAGCATTACAAGATCACATGTCTGAGCTGGAGAGAATTCAATCTTTAATTTGCAAACTCAACATTTCCTTGGTTTCTGTGTTTGAAGAGGTATAGCTGGCAGGAGTGCTTGCTCATTCTTTGTTATAGAGCAGGAAGAGCCAGATCAAACAGCAAACCAGCTGGCTGCTATTTCATATTCATCCACAACTGCGAGGTTGGCATGGCACAAATACAGGTGCTGCTTGTTTACATATCTGCTAGATCTGATTAAAACAAACAGCAATCTCTAATCTTCATATAACCTGTGGTGCACTTTGGAAAAATGCTGATTGAAAATGCTGTTTGAAAAGTAAGACATGAGAGGGTGGGAGTGAAAGAGCAAAGGAGTGGTCAATTCGGTAAAGATGTCAGAGTGCCGTTCCTTCTCTTCTCCCACTTCAAAGACCACCTAAGCTTGGAAGGCTACACAGGAGCTACTATACACATTCATGATGAGGGCTCTTGATTGGTGCTTCACAAAGCTTCTCCAGTTACTTGTCTGAAGGCCAGCGGTATTTCTCTGAAGTTTAACCTGCATAGACACACAGCTGATAATCCCACCAAGAGCCAATTTAAAGGTGTGCAGTGCCAGTATGTGCGTGGCGAAGAAATGAAAAGAAATAGATCTTTTGTACTTGTTCATGGTCAGTAGCAGTTTCTTTAGCCAAGGAAGCATCTTAGCTTCTATCAACATAAATACATTTCAGAATTATAACTATCATTATCATCACTGTAGGGATGGGCAATACAGACAAAAGTCAATGCAATTTTTATACTTGTCTTTAAATGTCATGGTTGAAGTATCACACAAAAGTAAATGGACTGTAAAATTACAACAGAAGTGCAGAAATTTCACTTCATACCCTTGTTCGAACGATTACACTGCAAATGTGCTATACTTATTGTATTCAAAATTTTAGCATTTCTCCCCTCAAAAAAATCAGATTCTATCCATTCTTCAATATATCTCCCACCTCCTCACTGCAGTAACAGAAGTATCTCAGTATCTCTTTTCAGCCCTATCACCAAGTCAAATTCTCTTCCTTCACCACCTCGCAGAATAAGAATATCTTTTTTATTATCTAGAAAAACTATTGTATCTGTTTTAAGTCTGTCAAAATCAGACTCATATTGCTTTTATTGGTCACATGTCTGGGATTACTGATGACATATTCTTATTTAACAATATTTGCACGATTCTCACTGTGTCCCTGATTGCTAGCTAACTCACAGATTGGCGAGGAGAATGATAATCTGTACTAGGCACACTGCCATATTTAGGCAGAAGGTCTTTTTCATATTAATAGCTTTGGGTTGGAAGGGGCATAGAGTATGCAAAACAGTTGATTCATGTTTTACCTTGCACATATTCAGCACTGAAGAAGTGAGAACATACATACAGATATAAATAAATTCATGTGTACATACAGACATATGCATCTATTTTGTTTCCTTAGAGTTATATGTAGGACTGTGTAATGAATTTAATTTTAATTGAGCAAAATTTGTCGTTTCAAATAGTTGATGATATGCTTGGAACTCTTTCACTGGGAGGTCTGCAGCCAAGCTTGTGGGTTGGAGAAGAGTTCAGACTTTTGGAGAGATAAGTCTGCATAGTTGTAGTAGATGTTCAGGAAATTAATATTGAAAGCCATTTTTATTTGCTTTAAATAAGAGAAAGTTAAATTCAATCAAAATTGTGATCAGTCAAAAATACGAATATTGTGTCACACCACCAAGCCCTAGATAAGTCTCTATTTGAGAATGTTGTAGACAATATTTACATTTGGGGCTTTATTTTGGACATATGGTAGCTTTAATAACAGAAAGAACCTCTCAGATGTGTACAGCACTAGTAGTGATGGTAGATGGTAATATTTGTAGTAGTACTGACATAGCAGTAGTTGTTTGTGCACTAGGATACTACGCTTTTGTGTTACCTGGTAATACTCCAGAGTGGTTCAATGCGCTGTACAGTTGGATCCTCTATGTACTCAAAGGCCAGACTCTCGGGTACTTTAGCTCGGTCCACAGTCAGAGAGACCTGCACTGGCCCCGCCCCCGTCAGCGATGGAGCAGAGAAGCACACTATCTCTGACATGGTCCTCCTGGAGAAGACAAGACAATTTATTGTTCTCTTTGATTGTGATCACCACGGTTACAGCTGCAGTGGTTAACCCGTGGCTTCACACAGTTATGAGCCCCCACATTAGCATGAGGGGAAGGGATTCATCACGCCTGTCCCATCCCCTCCTCGTTAGGCTCGCATTAACGATGGAACAGTGTAATTAGAGTGAGCTCAGGCTAATGGCTCCATCGTTTCATCCCCTGACTGTGAGTGTGGGGTATTTTAAACTTCAAATACTGCTAAAAATACTCTCACAATGGCGGCTAGGGGTTTCAGACCTGTCAAGTAATGCATTATTAAGGTATTTAATTTGAACACAATGTAGTTCAAGTGGATCTCTTTAATCATAGACCAGTTTCAGTAAAGACAGACTCGAAAATGACAGACTGCAAAATGTGAATAAAAAACAGAACTTAATGGTTCACAAATATCATAAAATATACACACTGTATTTTTCACAGCAGAACATAAAAAATTTATCAGTAGTGGAAACAAGCATCTTACAGTATTTTGAAAAAGAATAACTTATTTCCTGAAGTGCTTTTGAAAAAAAAAAAAAAAATCATATGATTCTTCTTACACACAGCCAAAGTTAGTATTTTATTCATGCAAAGCAAAACCAAAGTGCCCTGTTCAATCATAAAAAAGACACAAAAGTCCATATAAATGTAAAAAATGCTTTTCATTAACCAATATTCAAGCACCCCTGAACAATTGTCATTATAGAAATTGTTCACTGTGAAATTAGTGTACAGTATATCCTACCATTGTATTCTATATTTTCCCTGACCTATCATTTCTGTATTCTGTTTTGTGATTTAGTTGTTTAGTTTTATGGATGTAATGATGAGAAACAGTGAAACACACAGAGATGGTATTGTAGAACTCACCGGTACAGTTCACAGGTCTGGTTGGCAAAGTACACATTCACAGTGCTTCCAGCTCCCAGGTTCTCACCCACAATGGTGACTTTAGTACCCCCTGACTCAGGGCCTCTGCCTGGGGTCAGCGCCAACATCGAAGGGGTCTGCCAAAACAACAAAATACGATTTGTGAATTTAAAAAAATTAGAAATTTGAAAATTTGAAAAAAGTTGTGACAATATTTTGAATTAACAAATGGTGTGCATAGTGGTTAAAACTTTTAACATTTTACCACAGTTATTAGAGCCTGTGTAAAAATACAGAGCACTATAGGAACTAATCTATTCAAACAGCAAGTTATTTTGTGCAAGAATTTTACTGCAGTTTCAACACTCTGAAAGTATTCTGTTGAACAATGGCAATGGAGTCAGTTTAGTTTGGCCTAAGCCTTTACTCTAAACAAATTCACTATTCATTTTTTTTTGTCAACCTCACCACAAAGGAGTAGATCTGGGAGGACTGAGCACGTAGTTCAGGTCTGCACTGGCCAACACACAGCATCACTGGACCCGGCGCACTTCCTCTGGGGGCTGCTGCCATCTCACACACAATCCTATCAAAACAACAACAAACTCATTCATTCATTCATTCATATCAGGGTGTTATGCATGCAAGTGATAAACAGAAGACGCGCTGCAGAGTATCACATCTTTTATGTATTGCGCAAGGGGGGAGGTACAAGATGGCCTCTGCATTCGCCGTGATTGAGGCAGACTTTCATGGAAGTTGTGGGTCAATACGACGGGCCATCTTTCATCCTAATGGGAAACCTATAACAGCAATATAACTCACATGATAAAGTACACCCCTCCCTCGTCTCCAGCAAGATCGCCACCCACCATTACCTCGCGTTACCATGACAACGCAGGGGTGTCTCCGATAAATCAGTATTGCCTGTCAGGTCAATAAGACAAAGTGCACCATGAATAAGTCATTATAGCAACTGACCCCATGCTGGAATTAATGATTGGAACAGTTGTAATGCCATGTTTTAAGACTCTAAGCGTGCCACATAAATGGTTTTGCTGAATGCATTGCCCCACGCCTCTCAAACTCTGCATTTCCTGATACAATAAGAGCAAACGATGAATTGTCCCCAGTGAGCCATTACATTCATACATCACATGAGTTTTCCAATTTTCTGCTGGCATGTCCGTTTGGTTCTTTTTGCCCACATGGATATAAATAAGTCCCTGTAGCTTCAGCACAGTCGTTTTACATGGCTGTGGGAGAAACACACGGCTAACAGATTGTCCCTCCAGTCAGCAACACGCAGCGCATTTCAATTACAACTGCGCTCGAAGTCTCACATCAACAATGACACAAAGACTGTCATTTCCCTTAGCATATGACTACATCAATGCAACACACTGTCTCCATTAGGCTACAACCTGCTGTTTCATATATGGACATTTTTTACAAACCATAGGCCTGGTGTGATAGGAAAAAGTGAATCTTCCATGAAAGCAATGGAAATAACAACCACACATTGCAGGTAATTTTGTATATACTGGCCAATCAGGTAGAGCTTGGGCAAAAACACTAGCATCAACTAACATTGTAAGGGTGTATAATCTCAGAGTTTACGATTGATGGTCTGATTCCTTCACTCTAAATTATTCTCGATGTCTAAACTTAACGGTGTACCATATTAGTGGCGGGTCCAACACCTACTTGTCAGCATAAAGATGTTTGATTTGTCTGGAATGTTTCACAGTATGACATTGAAAGCATAGACTGTATATATGAATGGACATGGGTAATGTTCCAAATAGGAAGTTCGCATGCGGGCGCTTCTGGCTCCTTCTGACTCTGGCTCCCATTGACTTACAATGGAATATTGTTGTCCCTCTCTCTGTAACTGCTGCAGTCATTTTAGTCTTAAAATGTTCGTATTAACCCACTCTACATGATCCTGGTGTTTTTATTTAGTTGGTTTTTCTGTTAAAATTCTATTCATAATAATATTTTTGGTTCCAAATTTGCCCTTGTAACCTCTAGCATCGCGAACTTCATTTGAGTGGCGCTATGGGTGACATCAAGGAAAGGACTTGCTTAGTCCACTTCTTTATACCGTCTGTGATTGAAAGCATCTACCTTCATGGAGACAGGCTGGTGCCACCAACAGATCACGTTACAAGTTAGATCAGTGTAGAGGCCACCCAGCTCACAGTAAAAATGGCTGTTTTTCAAGGTATTTTTTTAAGCAATTAAACACTTGTTAGTTGAATATGTGCAAGATAGATAAGATAAATGCCATACTGTGGAACATTCCAGACAAAGCAATTAAATCTCAGTAGACATGAGCAGGCAGCATACCCTCCATTAAAGTCACATATTGCAGCAAAATTGTAACTGTTAAGTACCATACATGGGACAGTAGCAATTACCACTTTAAAACAAAATATTTTATCGTTTGAATAGGAAAAAGATTTAAGATTTTGCATATAACAGGAAGCTGAAACTCATGAATATAATAGGGTTCATATTTTATCTTGTTCGGGATGTCAATTGATCTTACTGTTCTGCTGTGATGTAGCCTTCTTCTTGCGGTGTGCACTGGACACCTGCCACCTCCACGTTTCCCTCCAGCTCAGAGAACGACAGCCCAAGGTTCAGGCCCTGGATTGTCACCAAAGTACCGCCCTCAAGTGGCCCTGCGATTGGGCTCACCTGCAACAAAAGAGCAATCAGAATTTGGTTATTAAGAGTAACACAATCACAATGGTTGGTCCTGGTTTAAGCACAGCTTAGTCCTGATGTAGGCTTGGTTTGGTCCTAGTCCAGGTTTAATTCCATGTTAAACCCTAATTTTGTTATTTCGTAAACCTACCTAAGGCTACATATTAACTCTAATCTGAACTACCGGTAGTTTATACATCGTCTGTATTCATGATGTTCAAGCTATTCAAACGTCCATCTGCATAGAAATTAAGCAATTAAAATAAAAAAATATATATTGGTATATATATTACATCTTCTGAATGAAGAAATGTCCTCGTGAAAAACTTCACATTAGGTTTGGTTTTCCTGGAACCCACGAATATTGCAAGACACGTATCTGTTGAGTATCGTCCATAGACCGTACTATCCAAGGTTGAGAATTGTTATTCGGAAAAAAATTTAATTTACCTAAAGCACATGTTTAACTTATATTTATATGTATTATTGGATTGCCCTTGCAATTCAACCCTCCATTTTGCACATGTTTTTCCAGATTAATAAAACATGCATTTGCCTTTCTCAAATCCATTGAAATACACTCCAAACAAACTCAAATGCATAAAACATTCCTATAGACACCTTGAGTCACATTATCCGTCCTTTCCTGTATAAAGTGAATCCTCCCAGCGGGACACCTCTGGACCTGCGGAGCTGAACAGGGGCAGCAGCAGCGTGACACTGGCTGCTCTCTGCTGTCGATTCATCGGGCCCTGGCTTCTTCAGAAAGACTAATAACGTGACAGGGACTTCAAAGTGTCTGTGTGCTTTGAAGTGGAGGAGCCTTGCATCTGTGCGCCTGACCTACTGCGCCTCATTGTAGAAGAATGAACAGGAGTTTGTGGCATAAAAGATCCATCTCCACTCTCTAAACAGCCTCAATGCGTTTATCTGTCGCTCGTTTAGGAGGTTTAGACAGTGTGCAAAGAGAGGGGAGATAGACTGGGGTAAACATACACTTGGAGGGGAAATTGGAGAGGACCTACAGACACAAAGCAGCTGTTTTAAAGTGAACAGGTTGGCATTCTGTGTTCTAACTCTGAGTGGGAGTGAAAGGAAGAGGATGGCTTTCCTTGGGGTTTATTTAGAGGTAAATAATGCTCAAACTAGTCGAATAAAGAAATTCTTGGTTGAAAGATAAGTCGCCTAGAAAAGCTTGCAAATGAGCCAGATATTGCGCAGAAATTACTATGTATACAGGGAAGTAAACAGCGCTGTTCTTAACTGAATATATAAATTCAACTAAACAAAAACTCCCAAGACACCATCGGCTGATTAATTGGCTAAATAACTAAAGGATTGGCACTAAACTGAACTACAACTAACCAAAAACAAAAATTGGTATAGCCTAAGTAGTAGTCGAATAAATAGAATTATAAAAGTAACAACCATGTTCACTCACAAAGACACAGTGGAGACACAGTGGAGACACAGTGGATCATGGGGGTCATATAAAGTGTACTGTTGTGTATGTGGCTGGGTGCTGGGAGCTATTTTTATTTATTTTTTTTATCATTATAGCCAAGGGGTGTGTTCACACTTTTCTTGTTTGCTCCTGGTTTGAGCCCAGTTTAGTCTTGATGTAGACTAGCTTTGGTCCTGTATAAGATCTGGTTTAATCCAGGTCTACTCCAGGGTTAGGTCCAGGTTCAGCCCCAGTTTTGTTTCCTTTTTAATGTGGTGATTGTGCAAGTGTAAATGCAGTGAAAATGTCATTAAATCGTGTTTTATTGTATTTTTCCAAACCACGTGAGTTTACTAAAAACAATCCAGACTTAGTGGAAGTTATGACTCCCCTATGTATTATATTTCTTGTAACTGGCATTTTTAAGCTATATACTTGCCCTGGGCCACTGCAAATCTTGTCGGCTGTATAGTTTATGACCAGACCACTTGTAAACATTGTGCTTTTACTCAGTGTCTAAGAGAGAGTGGCTGGGCGAGTTTCCAAGCCCACAGCAGACCTCGGTGATGCGTGGGTTGGTGCACTTGACACTCCGGGCAGACAGGTCCAACCATCGACTGGCGTAGGGGGAGAGGGGGGCACAGTGCTGCTTCAGGGTGCACTTGCCCTCGCCACTGCACCAGCCGCACTGGAACTTCCTGTCAGCGCGAAGACACATCCCACAGCTGTCCCTCTGGGCACTGCATTTGTACAGGTTTACTGTGAGGAGGGAGAGGAAAATAGAGTTTTGAAATATTTATTTAAGTATTATATACAAGTACAAGCAGACTGCAAAAGCTACAATTCTACATATTTAACAAAGTTAGTTTCAGAATATTGTATAGCATTTTTTATTCATTGCAATCATCTTTATTAGACTGTATTAAAATGACAACATTGAAAAGCCTTATAAATAGTTGATATAATAGCAATTAAAAGAAAATTAGAAGAAATAATTTTGGCTTGACTGAAATCTACATTTATCACTGGGCCTGGGGGTTTAATGGCTGCCAGGAGATCTATCACTGACAACCTCCTTCCCTTTAAGTGCCCTTTATTTACGCTTGAAGAAAGTGCTGCATCTAAGTGATGACATGGCCTGGTCGAATTCATAGCCATCCTTGACAAAGTGGGTGTATTTCATATGGAACCCACATTGACAACTCTGAGCATGATGATGGAGGGGAAACTGAGATAGAGACTCAAAAAGCTAAAGTGAGCAAATATGAAGATTCGCCCTTCACCCCCTCAGCTGGAGAGTGATTGGGCACTTTTTGATCACACTGGCTGCTATTGTGAACTTTCTCTCAAGGCCCTTTGGATGCCTTGAAGTGCTCTCTCTGACCCATCTATCCCACATGGATTGAGTGCTTTATGCTCCTCTAGGTTGGCAGTGATGGATGGCAGACGCACCTTTAATCTTCTCGGGATTGTCGATGATGAAATTGCCGTTCCATACGATGGAGAGGTCCACTGCCAGGTCACTGATCTTCACACCCTCGTACATGTACTGAAAATCACACAGTAACACAGTGAGCCCAAAGTGGGTGCTATCACGAGCGGGGTAAAGGAGAGGCAAAGCTGCAGTAACATAAAGAAACAGAGCAGTTCAAAATGAGAGGATGAAAGGGCCATGGCGAGACAAGGCTTTTAAGCATCTGTCATCTCTGCCATGCCTGTCTGCTCCGCTCCTCTGCAATACACGGGGACACAGACCTCAACCACGGTGCCCAGTGATCCACATCTGAAGAAAATGGCCTTTTCATTCATTGTCGCAAAAGCGCAAGGTGTGCTTTGCATTGCAATTTGCACTTCCATTTGTGCTCAAAAGCTGTTTAGTAAAGTTCAGTTTCATGCACTTTCAAATAACTTTATAACGTTTCATGTGAGTGGCACTTTGCATTGCACATTAATGCTGCTTCTTTTCTTACCAAGCTATTTAAACTATATATAGCGCACTCCTATGCCAATTACAAATAACAGCATTACCTGTCTTGTCATTTAGCTAGTTTTCTTTTAGTTTTTATCTCTCAGGCAACACGAATGGATTTTCAATCAATTATTCTACATTATGCTTCTTTAATTTTCATTTCACAACTTCACAATTTCATAATTTCACAATTTGATTCTCCATTTTCTTCTTTCTTATCTCATCTTTCTTACCCACGCTCCATTTCCCACCCTGCTCAGCCCTGTGTATATGTCAAGCTCATCTGACAGTGGTGAGTGTCTCTTGTGGAATGTGGGGTCATACCGAGCTGTTCTGGCACTGTACGCTGGTGCTGTTGAAGCGCAGGGCAGTGACTCTGTGACTGGTCCCCTGCACATGCACCACACACTCGTACCCCCTCTGACCCGACTGGGGCTGGGGCAGGTTACGCGCCTTCAGGGTGATGGGTCGCACCTCTCCTGCCGGGATCAGGATCTGTCAGAGTTAAGGAGCTGGGGACAGTCCTGGGAGAGAAAACATGTCATGATAGCTGATGAATCTTGAGATTTGAGATGAAATATTATTAATGCTGGCATGAAGATGCACTATGTAACTTTAGTGCAGGAGTCATCTGCTTGTAATGCTTGAAGTGTTCCATGGTATGTCATTAAAACTGTTGTCACTATTACACTGGAGAACATGCATTCTTACAGTGAGAGGGATCACGTCTGTACCATAGACTGTATAAAAGAAGTGGACTAAGCGAGTGTGACGTCACCCATAGCCATAATGAAGCTCCTGATGCTATTGGTTACAGGAGCAAATTTGGAACCAGACTCCATATTTGGAAATCCGACCGTAAGTATCATAGCAATCACAAGAGCCAATCATGATTGAAGTTATTTAACTAATAAATCAATTAACATCAGTTTATTTTATTTATTTTACTTTCCAGAAAAACTAGGCACCGGGGGTCTTCGAAGGTCTATTGGCACAATTAAATGCCAAACAAGCCACGATTAACTATAAATGAACCTATATCGCTATATTTTAAGACTAATAGAACAAATTAAAAAGTACAACAATCTGAAAAAAAGTTGTCTAACAAATTAAAGTTGTTAGATGCACTCCTTGATGAACTATCAGCCAACACAGTTAAATCTACAAACAAAATGGCAGGAGTCCATTGACAATTTTATTAAATGCCTTGATCCACTTGTTAAAAGCCCGGAAAAGTCGTGCTGTCATTGGATAAATGTAAACGTCATTCAAACCTGTCAAAACGGGGTGACCCTGCCGACGGTGAAAGGAAAGCGAGAAGGGGGCTTACGTAGGAATGAAACACACTAGCTGTCAGTCAAACCTGTTGCTAACACTAGCAGGAGCGACGTTGGGGAATGAAGGCTTCTGATTGGTCCATTATTTATGTTCATATTTTGATTTAGAGACTAAATAGCAAAATGAAAAATCAGGATCATGTAGCGCAGGTTAATATGAACATTTTAAGACCAAAATGATGAGGCTCACAGCAGCGTTTACAAAGAGGGGCGACAAGAACCCACTGTAAGTCAACTGGCGCCATGGTCAGTAGGAGCCGGAAAAGCCTCCTGGCGCACTTCCTATTTGGAACGCGGTGGCTACCATGTTAGTTATGTCCATTCATATATACGGTCTATAGTCCATCATATGGAGATTTAACACCATACTGTGGAACATAAGCAGGTGATAAAATCTCCACTATTACATACACAAAATGATAATTGTGAGATGAAAATGAAAGACCAACCCATTATAAAGCTTAAGTGTGTTACATAAATATTAAGTAATAAACAGGACAGGGATTAAAATCATATTAACTGTGAGTATGTTTGTGCTGCTCCAGAATAATCCTCAGGGCAATGCCAGTTTACTTGTGGTCAATCTGGCTTGCTCATGATGCTACAATAATATTGATACTTAAACTAACATATACAAAACTGAACAACACTATTGGAGAAAAATAAGACAAAATTAAGACTTTCCTGAATAGTTTTAGAATGCCCTGTATTATTTCAACATCAATATGAGACCATGTGGTAGAGAAACTACTATTATTGGTTTGATGATTGCATGCCATTATCACAGTTGTATCACAGTTGTATCACAGTTGTATCAAAATTGGTATTGCATCTGTTAAAAAAATCTGTTAAGTAAAAAATCAAGTCTGAAAGTTTTCCCTATGATGTGAAAGTTTCAAATGCAATGTACTTATATGAAATGGGACACTTGGGGACATGTTGTAGCTGTAAGTACTGCTCTAGCTCTGTACCAGACAGCTCTTTGTAGTATATGTTTTCAGGCTAAGTGCTTTTGTGTGCGTACCTCTGTAGCGTTGACCCTGCCCTCTTGAAAGGAGCAGCTGCTGGGGTCGTGGGTGCACAGGTTGCGATATTTACACCAGTGGCATCGGAAAGTGCTGCTTACACAAGACAGACACCTGCAAAAAGAGGGAGAATAAATCATGCAATTACTATGTGTTTCTTTGTAAAACTCACCGCTCAGTGTAATCTGTTCTCACTTTTGGGCATTATCAACATCTTTCCTCGAGGACTATTCAAATACAAACACTGATAAGGAATTATAGCTTTGGGCCGCCGTTATTATGTTCTTTCAAACACCCAATGAGAACCGTTTCTATGCTGGCTGAATGAATAGCATAACAGATATAACAATACGTGACCTTGAGGATGTTGGTTAGGTTTATTCTTGCTGTAGCAGGGAATTGTTCAAAAGTTTCAAAAGACGGTATTTTCAGTTCAGTTTCAGAAGACACAAACCAGTGCCTTTGTGCTGGTGGCATGTCTTGAGAAATGGAGGGCATCTGTATGTTACTGTAAATCAATATGCAACTCAATACACTATTTGATGACTTTAATTCATATCTTTTACTTCCAGTTGCTGACAGTCACAGTGTGGTAAGCAATTTTAGTCATCTGGTTCATAATTAACGATTGCACCTAAAATACGAAAAATGTATGTCAAAATCTAGCTGGTGAATGTAGTAGATAAACGACATCCACCCTTGTCTTAAACACTGGAAATATAATATTGTATACTATTCATACTATTCTTATAAGTGGCAACTTGTTATAATCTCAAAGGACTATGTTCTTACAATATTAAGGTTACAAAGAGAAGATGTGATATAAATAATTTATGTTTTAGAAACCACATGAGCAAGGGGGTTGAATACAGAGGTTCAATCTGAAGAGCTAGAATGTGCATTGTAATTTTTAGGTAATGTTTTACAGTAGAAAAAAAAAAGAAACAATATTACACAAGTGTTGGTAAAAGTACATTGCATTGCTTTCACTGTAAAACAGATGTTTTGTCAAATAATAATAGAATATTATTATTATTATAAGTGAGAGCAGGAGAACGGTACAATATTCAACATGTGGGTTGCTGGGGTTACTTTTGAGATTTTGTCATTTCATACATAATTTGCTGAAGTTATTTTAAGTTTTGGCAGTGAAAAGTTGCTTATTACACACACATATAAATCCCCTGAAGATGAATATTGTATAATTGAAAGTTATGAAGCCAGAAATGTAACAAGCTTCTTTTTTTTTTTTTTTTAATAAACCAGGCAATAAACTAAAGGAAAGCATAGAGCAGAACACTGCAGCTCATAGCGGACTACAAATGCCAATAAATGTAGCACAGAGCCATTAAATTTTGATATTAATTAGCAGCCCAGGGCCAGTGTGGACATAAAGTGTGTGGATGTGTGAATGTGTGTGTTAAACAGGAAAATTTCAGAGGTGGGGTATTAATAGAAGTGGACTGGCAGGGCGCTACACTTGCTGGATAATTAATTATGGTGGTGATGTGATGTTGGGGTGGTTCTGCAAAAGAGGGGGTTGATGATTGGGGTATTTTTTTGGTCTGAAATATTCACAGGAGTTCACTGGGTCACCTGGCAACTAATGGAAGCGTGTACCGGTCTTAGGCTGATGAGATGAGCTTCCAACTGTTTCTGCCTAATAGCTTAATATGGCCATATCTGGGCATTCACTCGGAGCACTTTTTCAATGGATGGCATGTGGGCTAATTTTCTGAGTCCAGCTTTAGCATGCACCATTAATCATGCATCTCCTCCCACAGTGAACTTGCAGCATGACCGTTAACACAATTAAAGGTTAGTTAAGTGTTGAGTGAATCTCCCTGGACAAAGGGTATTTAAAAGGTGATGCTGATATTGTAAAACGCAAGTGTAAGTATTTTACAGGTTTAATTTGATTTGTTTTCACATTCAAATAGAGGAGCTAACAGTCTAGAGAGAATACGCTCTGTTCCAAAGATCATAAATCTCTAAGCACTCTATTATTGAAACTCACATGATAAAGATAGAGACTCACAAAATCCTTTAATTATTGTCTTAAAATTGAGCTATTTTCAAATCAAGAGAAATGTAGTGTGTAGGCAATTAGCCATAAAATAAACATAAATAAAAAAAACTACCTTTGTTTGAATATTACAATATTTTTCACATTTTGATTGATGGTGATGGTAATTAAGAAGAAAACCTTGTGTGAGATAAATACACATCGTATGACTATAAAAGTGTTCACTTAGCCAAATACACCTAATTGGCATTCCTCCCACCAGGATCCACCTCTGTAGCCGTTAGTACTTGATATTCAGATAGGGATGCTCATGCCATTGTTTACCACTATAGTAAATACAATTGACGTGAACATAATGGTTCAAAGTCAAAGCTTTCCTTCCCAGACAGAGGCTTAAATTACTGCAGCAGATGAGCATTTCAATGAGGTGCATTTCATTTACTGTGAAAGTGTGCGCAGAGCCAAAATCTTAAATGTCAGATGAGCTCCCACAGGGGCTGCTCAGGGAGAAAAATCACAAGTGGAGTGTGACTCTAATTGTCATCTACACTACAGTGTATCCAGTCATAACAATGACACAGATATATAGTACTAGAGCTCCTGTAATTGTTCAGAAGTCAACTATTATTCAGAGCATACATAACAAAGCAGACCAACTGACAATTTACTATTTAAAAATGACATGAAATGGCAGGAAAATGGGAGTAAAAACTTGAAGAATAGAACAATTTCACTTGATGATAGCGTGATCATTTAAAATGTATTAGCTCAGTTGTTCATGTTCAGTGTTTACATAGTAATACATTAGTTGCCTCTAGTTTTTAAAATAGTACAAAGTTGGTAGGAGCTTTTGTGTGTATTGTCTATTGCATTTCAAACATGTACTCATGTCATATTAGTACTGGCAGTGCAAAAAGTTTGTACAGTCAATGTCAAAAAATTGGCCGACAATTAAAACATCACACTTGAAATGCATTTAAATCTCTTAGACAAACTCGTAAAGTGCCACTTAAAACAAATCCCCAAACAAACGAGCCCCAGTGAATGCATCATCCTGAATGAAATAGAAGCTGACAAGTAAATTGAACTTAGAGGTTATCTAACAGCCTCCCCTTAAGTGGGCTAGTGAACAGCAGTACATCATTGTCCTAAATTAGGTTGTGCCCCCGCATCTATTGAACAGATCAAACCTTGGAGGGAGGGGCTGCCTGCTGTTGCAGTTGGTGCAAAGATTTTGTTAGCAAAGAAGTAGTAACAATGGAATAGTAATACTGCTTTTGTCCATATTTTATGTTGAGGTTTTGCTTCAATGCTAGTGTTTTATATATATATATATATATATATATATATATATATATATATATATATATACTATTCCAATATTCAGTCACTGCTTTATCCTTTACTCTGCTTTATTACTCATTGTTATACTTCTTAATATATATATATATATATATTATATATATATATATATATATATATATTATATATATATATATATATATATATATATATATATATATATATATATATACTTAATAGAAAATAGAAGAAAATAGATTAAGAAGTATAACAATGAGTAATAAAGCAGAGTAAAGGATAAAGCAGTGACTGAATATTGGAATAGTTTTTGTTTATTTGTTTGTATTTATTTCTTTTAATGTTACATCTCACTGTTTTCGTTCTTGTTAGTTTTTATTATTTTTTGCTTTGTCTAGTCTTTGTCCAATATGTAAAAAAGCCTTATACATATTTGAATTATAAAAAAAGAAGTATAAAAGAAGTATTGTGATTTAATATTTATTGAACTCACGTTCTGTGGGTGCTGCAGTTGTAAAACTTCACCTCAGTGCTGCCCACCATTTGTCCTGTCTCTTTTGAGTTTAGTCGCAGCTCTATACCAGCCCAGTCTGAAAGAGAAAGGGAGAGGGAGGAGGAAAGAAGAAACGGAGAGGGTGAGGGAGGTGAAAGGGATAAGAAAGGGAGGGAAAGAGGGAGCGAGGGAAGGAAAGAGAGAGAGGGAGTGAGTAAGGGAGAGAGAGAGGGGGAGGGAGAAAGGGAGGCACAGAGAATGAGAGGGAGGGAGGAAGCGAGAAGGAGCGAGAGACAGGGAGGGAGGGGGAGAGGGAGAGACGGAGTGGTGAGAGAAAGACGACAATAAGTGGTGGGAAGAGGTCAATATGCAAAACAGTTTAATACTTTTATCTGGCTCCTCTAAAGAGCCACCTGGCGTCTGCGCTTCTGCAAGGGCATATTGCAGTTGGTGTGAAAAACCTTCAGTCAGAAACTTCAAATGAGGGATTACTGTAAATGTGCAGAGAAAATTAAACAGCCCAGCAGTACCTTTTGGGACTAAACAGAAATGCAGAGTGGTCAATCCCAAATGAAAGCTACATTTGTTTACTTGCTAAAACATAGACACATTTCCACAAGCACTGCCTTAAGTCACCAATGAACTTTTAGTTTCATTAAACAAAATAAGTGAAGTAATTTCTTTTTCTTTTTTCATTTTTAGAATCAAAATCTTCACAAAAACCTTGGGCTGTATTTAATGGAACAATAATTGACTATGCAAATAGTTGCTGAATAAAGGGTCCATGTGAAAGTCAAGGCTGCTTCTGCAATGATTGAAGATTATTTTGCAGATAGTGCGGCAAATGTTCCTAAAACATATCCCTAATATTAAATGTTGAATTGATAGGAATCATAACTAAATACAAAAAAATATATAATTAAACATAAAATAAATAAATATATATATATATATATATATATATATATATATATATATATATATATATATATTTTTTTTTTTTTTAATCTATTGAGCTGATGTATCATATTCACAGGTTTCAGCTTCCTCTTGATAGGTGACATTTTGAGGACGTTTCACCATTCAAGATCTGATATGTAATTTTACATTGTTATTTGTAATTGCAACAGTCATCTGTTTAATTTTTCATCTAAGCACAGTTGGGGTCTATGGGCATCTAAGAGCACCTGTGTGTCAGTGACCTCACCTTGTCCCTCAGGTATGTGCGGAGCCTCTTTCCCTGCAGGAGACAGACACATGACCCTGTTCCCATTCACGTGTCCCTCCACCTGCGCCTGCTGTCCGAAGGAGCATGTGATCCCAGCAGAAAGGTCAGGCACATTGTTCACCTCCAGCAGGAGCTTCAAGAAATAAAAAGACATTTCATACACGACAACCAGCAAAATTAAATGTGCATTATTTTATATAATTTGTGATGTATTTTCAATCACTAAGATGTAACTCAGATGTACAGTATCTTGCCTTCACTCTTCAATTTGGTGCTGACATTTCATCCTTTCATATAGTACATTAAAAGGACTGTAACTTCTCTGGTAGAGGATCCATCACCTACTATTCCCAAAAGTGGGGACAATAAGGTGGGGAATGCTCCACCACGCAATTTATGCAGTGCACATTTAAATATGAAATACCATGATGTTCAAACAGTAATCAAAAATTATTTATAGGCCCATTATTCTCCACTAACTGTATTTTCTGATAATATCTAACTTCACCAATGACAGTCACCATAGCATGCGTCATCCCTAATCTCTTATCTGTACATTCTCCACATGTTTCTCCTCTGCGCTACTCGCTGTATATTCTCGTAAACTTGTGACAGGTCAGTGATTGGTGCAATAGTAAAAGTGGACTCACTGGAACGCTGTGTGCTGATACCGCAATGCTGTCGGGATGAGAGATGACCTTCACACAGCGGTCAATGTCGGTGGCGAAGCGGTACATCTCATCAGACCTCGGACAGCGATCCCTCCTCGAGCACCTGTGGGAAAAGACCCCAAGCACGGTTACAGCCATTGAGAAGAAAAATGACCCCAGAAAATGGCCCTGGAAGAACATTTGGTTTGTTTGTTTGTCAGTGCGAAGTTGGAGACTGGATGCTCCTATATATGTGATATGTTTTCTATCAAAGGGTTATCAGTTTCATTTGGAGTTTGGAGTAGTGTTGTCAGAACACAGTGAATGCTTGTTTAGCATAAGAATAAACAAATGCAGATTTAAGCATGCAAATTTACAAGTATGCATGTAATGTCATGTTACAGGTCAAGGGTCTGCCACCTGCTCGTCTCCATGGAGATGTTTTTGCTGCACTTGGAATTTTTCACAATATCAAGTCTCTCACAGTAAGAATCCAGGATTTTCACGTAGTTTCAAACTATAAATGCCATACTGTGGATCATTCTGGACAAAGCCATAACATTTCAATCGAGACAGGCAGGTGGCAGACCCCCAAAGTTACATAGTACACATTGTTGTACGAACAAATTGTTCTGAAAGTATTATGTTAGAAGTGTTCCCCAGTAATGACACAGCAGTTAACATCTATTGTCCATTGTTGCGTAAAAGTGTTATGTGTGTGTTATTGGGCTGGGTTTCATTAAGAAGTTGCCGATACGACACATACCTTGATACATAGGCCACAATATGATACATATCTCGATACAGTGAGCTTTCGATTTGATATGATATATATCAATTATGGCTATGATACTAAAAGTCTTTGTTAAAACACTTGCAAAGTTCATATGAAACACAAACATTTTAATCAAAATTAAAACTGTGAAAATGTCAAATGTGTCGCATAAATGGCTTTTCCTTCCTCTGAACAAGCAACAAAACGGTAGTGCTGTGTCAAAATAATTTAGTCAAATTTACCAAAAGATACTCTTGGCAATATATCGATACAGCAGCCCACGATACCAATACTGTATCATCACATTAAATCATCCGATATATAGATATTTCAATATAGTTGCACAACCCTAGTGTGTTATGAAGTGTTTCTTAATGTAACTCTCAGATTTGGTTTTGCAGAATGTACCATAAAGTGAATGTTTTTCTTTTAGTTTCGCTCCAGTCACATGCAAGTAATCCGTAATCAGATGTTCAACAGTATCTATTATTCATAGGAAGTTTATAAAGATTACGTTACAAAATCCAAGCATAAACCTCACAATATAAAATGGTCATCTGCTTTTACAGAACACAATTAAAATGAGCTACAAAGTGAAACAGAATCTATGTACTTCCTGCTCTCTAATAAAACTTAGCGGGGTCTTTATCACTCAGCTCATGTTTCTCCCATGTCTCACTCTCAATCTTTGATGCCAGGCCCGATTATTCATTTAACATTTTACTGTTCTTTTCTGCAGAGCCAATTACACTGAGTGCCACCGAGGAATAATCTGCACTCCTACATCCCAAAAGGAAATTACTTGTAGAGAGCTGAATGAGTTGGCTTTTTACTGTGACCTTACCATAATCTTGTCTGGGTGATGTGCGAATTAAAGTACTTCTAGGGATATGAGGGGGTGGGAATCTGAACTTTTTATGGATGTTATGTTGAAATTCAAACTAATACAGCATAAGCCATGTAAGAGAAGATACTGTGTCTGTTAGTCCCAGTGAGCTATAATTAAAAGGTGCAGTGTGTAACCTTTCTGATGTATTAACCGCCACCTGCTTATATCCAAGGAAATTTTATTCTTTGCTTGGAATGTTCCATAGTATGGCATTAAAGTTGATATTTATCTACAGAGACAAGCAGGAGATGCCACCAGACCAAGTTACAGGTTAACTCTGTGAAAAGGTGACCCCTTTCACAGTAAGAATGTATGTTTTAGAGGTGTTTCTGAGCTATTACAACACCCTTAATATTCCAGAGAGCTACTACAGGCAAAGAAAAAACATCTCCATTTAGCAGACCCTCAGCAGAAAAGTTACACAATACATCTTTAAATATGGAAACTTTTTAATTATTTTTATGTAATTTCTCTATTTTAGTAACACAGTAATATAGTGGTCGATACCAGAATGTACAGCAACGGACATAGTGGCAATATAAATAGTATGCTATGACTATAGTACTTTTTACTTAATAAAACAGTACAGTATTCTCTTGTAATGTAGTAGGATAAAACAACACAATGCAAACACAAGTCTATATTCTAATAAATATTTTTGCTACAATAAGCTTGAGTAATATCAGTTTGTATCAGTAGTTTAAAAGAAACGCTCAAAAATGAATATGAATCTCAAAGCAATTGTTATGCCTTGAAAATCCAGACAGTATTTTGTTTTCCTCTTGTCTACCAAATAGTGTGCAGCTCGGAGCTAATACACTGTTGAAGAGTACTGAGGGGGTGGCACCTCCAGAGAGGACTCAAAGAGCTGCGAGCCGCGGCTGTAATTACAACACAATATAAAAGCAAAATGGGGAAGCGCTGACAGCTGTTGCCTGCTCAGAGCCAGCGGAGTACAGGCAGTCACCTTCTGACCGCACATCAGCTCAAGTACGCCTTTCATCCAGCCAGTCTTTCAGCGCCTTTTATTTGGGCTCTTTTATGGGTGTGTTTTGTCTGATGAAGCAAATTGTACCCCCCTTCCTATTTTACATAGTTGCTACAGAGCATTAACCAAACCTGCAGTGTAGAAAATGGTGTAAAATGGTGCTGGGATTGGCAAATATAAGGTTTGAAATACAAACCAAACCAAAACAGAAAGCATTTCATGTTAATCTTAAGCAGCAGTAATCAATACATCTTTATGGGTATCAACTACCATGGAAGTCTGCCACTTTTCTTTGTCTACAGAGAGTAATAAGAAAAGAACTACAGAACCCTTTGTATGCGCACTATGGTAGAAAAGTGTTCAAAGGTCATCTAGACAACATTGTAGAAATTAAGAAGTTTCGATTACCATCCAGAAGTCATTTTCAATCTGAAGGTACTGAGGAGCTGGAGGTCTGACAAGCTAGAACTTATACTGCCCCAAGAGAGGAGTTATACACTCGAATTTGCTCTTGACTTGTTTACTTGCTACTTACTTACCCTCAGCCCACTCTGCGCATTATTCTCAGCAGCCCCTCACCCATTAAGTACCTGATAATTTGACTGTCTTAATTTTTGCTTTGACCAAGGTTTAGCCAAGGTTATAATGTATCTTAGTCCACCATGGATTTAGATACAAGAAGATACCTCAAACCTTTCCTGCCAAGGACCACTCCTGGGCGACTGTGACTGGACACTACTCCTCATATCTTTATAAAAATATAAGTATATAATGGACACACTGGTAAATGTCAGTTTGCTTCCTTTTTGGTAAAGCCCTTGAGATGACTGCAGTTTGAATATTGGTCTATATAAGAAAAAATAAATTAAAACATTTCTTTGATATTGATTAAGGCATGAAAGGAGCAGGACCATGCAAAAACTGAACTGCCCCAGGCTCACCTATCATTGCTGACATTTACGATAGAAAAGCAGTGGACAAAGTGTTCTGTGGCTGTGACACTGGCATTTTCAGTAAAGTGGCCTGGTATAACGGTCTGTGCTTGGACAACCAACACCACTCTCCTGCATACGGAGAAGGCAGAGCACTGTCCATCTTGTGGAAGACAATGGACAAAAAAGTAGTCAAGATGTAGAAAAGAAAGTAGGCAATTCAGTGGGTTGAAGAATCATGATTCACCTAGGGTTACTTGAGGCAACAAGAGTTTTCTACTCAGTGATACGTGTAAAGCATTTATTTAAGTAAACGGGCTAATGATGTTCAGAAAAGGAAGTGTTTAATGGGGTAATTTAAACTAAAGCACAACAGTGCTTTTTCTTCGTTGCAGTGATTTAAATAACCTAGATCATGGTGAAGATACTGCTAGCTATAATTCAGTCACACTGCTAAATTCGGCAGCTCGGGTCAACTATCAACAAAGCAGTATGCTCAAAAACATAGGCGTTTAATCTCTTATATCCCCTTTACTCAGTTTCCAGGGTTTTATGCAAGCGAACCTGGGGGTCACATAATTAAGACAGGAGAGATAAGCTTGTTCATGCATCGTGTGTAAAATGTTCCCTCGGTATATTGGGGTCCAGTAGTCCTGCTGAGACCACTAAATTAATCCCTCACTCTCCATTAAATTTACTAACCCTCAGCCTACTCACACACAATCGAAATCACATTGTGGGTTGTCCAAAATAGCACTAGCTTACTGAGGTCATGCTGTTCCTCAACCACTTCCTGGTTTTCTGAATGCCCCACCAGCTGTTCTTAATGGAAGCTGGACAATAAGCCTGCCAAGTATTAACCAACACAAATCATTTGACCACTTTCTCATGTCTATTTTAAGTAGGCTGAGCCAGATGTTGGGAAAGTATGGTGATAAAGTTGTAATCTCTGAATCATTGTGTATGGACTTACATGTTGTAGAGGACACACCAGCCGCAGTGAGGATCTCCAGAGCTCAAGCACTCGGAGCACGTCCCATACTGCTCACACGCCTCCACGGGGACCTGGGCCACCTTAGACAAAGAAAGGCAAAGAAAAAGAAGATTGTTCAATGATCAATAATTTGTATGGATTTGTATTTTGATTGATTCATGCCTGTTTCAATATTCCTGCTTTGTCCGCATGCTCAGAAAATGTCAATTCAAAACATTTTAATGATTTTTTTTAATGCTAGAATACCCTATAAAGATATAGTAAAGTTTTGTCTAAATTATACGAAGCTTTTTTTTCTGTATTAAATAGTAGAGGACTTGTTCAAGTTATTAGAGCACATGAAAACATTCTGCATTATAAAAGTTTCTGAAAATAAAGGCTAGGCTGAACTTTTTAATGTGCACTAGATTATGCATGCGTACAGGTGTTGGTATAAGGAGCACTTTGCACACACACTTAATTGCACAACACTTATCATGCTAATGTGCAGAAGGCTTTAAGACCACTTCTGCGTAATTGTCAATGTTTGGATAAGAACGGTGACAAAATGGTTATGGAGGGGTTCAGATGAAGTGAACAATGGCAGCTAACATTTTCTGAACTTCTGAAGTTACTTTAGAAAACATTCATCTTATCTTCAGTTACGATGGTTAATCTCACATTTCACTGGCTCTCTCTTACTTCCAGAAGACAGTTACACTTTCTGCAACTTGTGTTTAAATGTTATTACTCAAAGTTCCCACCCTACTTAAAAGAGTTTTTGATTCCATTTAGATCAGCATATCATTTACGTCACACTGAACAATTATTTTTTAATGTTCCTATAATAAAAAAAGAAATTGGCCGCAGAGAATTTAACTTCAAAGCTCTAGATGAATGGAACAACTTACCCTCCTCAACTCAATCAATTACATCAATCCACCATTTTAAGGCATCAGTCTTCAGATTCTTACAAACATCCTGCTCCTGTTTTTGATAAAAATACATTTTTCTTATATGTACTTTCTGTTGTACATAGAGTTGCTTTTTTTTTCATTCATTTACAAATATTAGGTGTGGTGATGATAAAATCAGAGAGATGTATGTATACCTTAGGATCCTGGACTGTATAGTATGAATGCTGTCTGTGTGCTGTGTGAATGTTGTCTTTGTCTGTCTTTTGTTCTGTTTTCATTAGTTTTTCTTTCTCTTCTGTAAATGCTGCTTTTGTTAATGCATTAGGACCCCCTCACAAACGAGATTCTACATCTCAAGGGGCTTCCCTTATAAATAAATAAATTTGAAGACTGAAGTAAAATCCATTGTTGAAATGATCAGGTTTAACTTCAGACTAAACCTGATCTATATTATTATACTTTTGTTAAGTAAAACACCATCTTTAAGTTAAGATGAGTTTTAATTTAAATCCTACAACATGGCTCCACCTTAGATCCTATGAAATTATAATAAAATAGGTTTCTTATTACAGACAGAACAATAATTTGTATTGAAAATATGATACAATACATGATACATCTACCCTTATGATGAACAAAATTTAGAGAAGTATATTAAAGCACTATAACTCTTCAAGCTAACAAACTGTATTGTCTGGATAAGGGACAGCTGAATGTGGACATTTTTAGTGTTACAGCCTTCATCTTAGTTCATTTTTTTTCATCAGAATATAGACAGATTCTGGAGACAACTTGTACTCATGCCAACACTGTTATATATGAAAGTCAGGCGGTCCATAAGCTCTCCATTAGCGTTTGGAGAGCTGCTGCTGTCAAGCGGGCAGCGCCATCCCCTGCATACAAAACCAGGATTGAAGCCTCAGCCTCCCAGTCTGGACGATTCTATATGTGCTTATTATTCAGGCTGCTGGACGTATGATGCAAGCAATTTCCCGATGTAAGCAATCACAAATGAAGAGTGGATTATGGATTGGAGTGTCTACCGGTGCTCTTGATAGCATAAGTGGGCGCTCTCTCAGGTCTGTGTTGGCAAAATGGATTATCAGCTGCTGCCTGGAAAATAACTTTCTTTCCTTTTTCCCTGCAGTTCGGAGCATTCGGCGCATTCCATTAGTGAAATGATTTTGTAGTGCAGTGGGTGGAGGGCTCGGACTCTGTATCTGACACAGTTGGAATAACCCATTGAATTGCGGTGGACCAGCGTTTATCTCAACTAACAGAGCTGGTTGTGCGGCCGTTAGGCAGAGTGACCTTTACAAGGGGAAAGTTATAGATCTTCAGATTCGCTGCTGCTCGGACATCACGGTTGATTTGCTAAGCAGAGAAGACTTGAGCAGGAAGGGCCTGGACTGAATCCGAATACAAACAAGACACATGTCGGTAGGACTTAACTTTACATGGGCCTAAATGATCAGCAACCTTAGCAAATGCATTGTTTATATTATCAAGAAAACAACTATGAACTGCAATACTCATTCACTTTTTTGAACTTTGTGCATCAGCTTTGAGATTTCCAGGAGAGACTGCTATGGGTTTTTCCATGGCAGATACCCATATCACGATTGTTTAGAATCCAGGGCAACCAATGGCTGATTAGCTCTGCCGATATTTCTGGATCGATATGTGAGGTCGTTTTTGATTATTTTCCCCAAATTATGCCATTTAAATTTACTACAAACTTACCCACAGCCCCTTTTTTACCACAAACCTTTAAGAGAGCTGTGTAGTCATGTCTCGTGCAGCTATGTCTTCATAATAAAGTGTTAATATAAAGCTTTGTGCTTTGTGTTTATTTTTTTAGGCAGCAGATTGACCAAAACTAAATAACATACTGACCTATGCTGGAGATAAAAAAACAAAATAAAACAAAACAAAAAACTCCAGGCCATAAATCCATTTTTAAGTTAGAAACAAGTAGCCTGTTAAGAACTTTAGAATGGACAGGTTTTGTGAGTTACAACATGCTGTGACATAGAAGGTTATGCATTTTGTGCACTGGTTAGAGACATAAACTAAATGCAGCATTAGTGAAACATGGACAAATGAAACAAAACACAGCACTATATACTAGTATTATTATAACTGTGTCATCTCCTGATTTAAACTTGCTTTGGTCCTGTCCTAGTTCTGGATTAGTCCTTATCCAGGTTTAGTTCAATTATATCAGTGTCCAGTGCTTGGCTGGTTTAGTCGCTGCATTAAGCTTTCATCTTCATGTTCAATGTAGCATGGCTCACTCATAAATCATTCAGGACCAGTCGAACGATTTAGTATTTCTAATCAAGCTTTTGTTTGTCTTTTCCTCCGAGATACTTTCTACAGAAGAAGGAGATTATTTAAAACAAACACAGACAGCCAATGAAAATCCTCTGCTCCCGAGGGTCCAAATCTCAGCCTGGCAGAGTGTTGTGTTGTAGTTTGTTTTTTTCCAGTGCTAGAGCAGTAAAGGAAGATTGCATCCATTTTTACAAGCTTTTGGGAATTAAAATAATTTCACAACATCTGGGATGAGCTTATTCAAAAGTGCCTCATTTACTAGTTTGCTTTTTCATTTGGGAATAAGAAATTCTGACAGATATCTATGAATTTCCAGACCTTTTACTTGCAATAAATCATGTGACAATTTGTACCATGTCTGCAGATCCTGGGGTCATATACAGCAGCTTAGTTTTACGACTGGACAAGAAAGGAAATAGAAGACTTTATTGCACTTGTCTGTACTGGCTATTTCCATTTTAATTAAAGACTGAATTGCACTGTAAATCATGAAGATTAAATAAGTCAGAGCTCATTTTGTGACTTGTGCAGAATGTTCTATTTGAAGCAGGATTTAGAAAAAAAAGACAGAATCTGAAGACATGGATCTGCAACTATATAAATAAATATGTTTGTTCATTGGAGAATTATGCCACAGTTTCACAAAAGATCGAGGCTCAACTGTACCCAAGAATCCATCTCAAACAGCGCGTGTTGTAACTTCAGGGATACAATAAATCTGGGTGGATATTACTAAATCTACTTGCATTTTTTTTCTGACATTGCATAGCTATTACATTTACAGTTTATGTTTTAGCTAGATTCTGTTAATAAAAATATGAAATGCAAACTGACAGAAATCCCATGTATTTGAGAACATATTTGCCAAGGCCTAAACTGAAAGATTAGCAAAATTTTAAAAACAGCATTTTGTTGTTTGTAGTGTTTCATAATTTGTATTTGCTAATTGCGACAAAATAAAAGCTCAATGTTAGATTTGATTCCTATAAATTTCGTAGCCCATTCTCTCCCAGTGCATGCCATTGCTCACAATACTATATTAAAATATGTTAAGTTTACATCAGTTGATAGCTATACCACAATTAAAACACAAGGCTACTAATACAGCTTCTGTTGCTATTGAATAGATAGAGACAGATTCACTAGATCTACCCCCAACATAACATCAGGTGCATTCCAGACAGCAGATTGTGATCATTATAGGTCAGTGGAAAAGAAGTTACCTTGGTTCATCATTGTATTTTATCCCTTTCAACAGATCTCCTCTATAAGAGTATTATATAGATGAATAGAGACTGGACCCTTTCACAGCTCAAATAATACACAATACTTCAATACGCAAATCAGCCCATCTATTTTTGATTGCATTGTGTGGCAGCGTCTTCTCTACACACATGCTATACTGTGCCCACCTACAAAGAGCAGGAGGGCAGGCAGATAGAGGTGGAGAGGAACAAAGAAGAGGATGGATGGGATTTGGAGTGATGATTTTGCATTCTGTGGAGTGCCACTCAGAGAGATTGCCCTGGAAATACCCTGAAGCAGTTTCCCCACACCCTGCTTTAAGTTTAAAGCCCTAGTCTTCAAAAAGCAGACAAACAATTGTAGCTTATTTTGTGTTTTGGGCGCTCGAGAATGCTGTTTGCATAAGTTGAAAGCCAAAAGGGTAGATTGTAGTGAATTAAGCATTTGCTTCCAAACAAACATATGTACAAAGATGGTATATGATTGGGAGAGTGTGTGGCAACTACAAAGAATCTCAGACGCCACCTGACATTTTGGGTTTGAGTTTCAATTCAGCAATTCATCAAGTCTCCCTGTAGCTTCCTCCATTATTTCTTGTCTGGTCTCCAATGTCCAAATATAAAAAACAGAAAAGTCAAAGAAATTGTTATAAATGCACATAATCACATAGGGTTGAAAAAAGCTTCAAAAAATCAGAAAATAAGGTTCAAACCAAACCCAAACAGAACTAAAAAAAAGATTGTCCAGGACTGGATCACTACTTTAAGGTACTCTGGGGGATCTACTAGCAGTCTCAGCATTAAAGGACTCATATTATATCATTTTCTGATCTATGTCATAATGTTTCCTCATTAAAAACATTCCTGGAGATGTGTTTTGTTTAATTCGCGCATGTTTAACACACAAACCCTGCATTATTTAGGCTAAGATCTTCTCTCAGACAGAAAACACTCCACCTCCACTCCACCTTGGTGATGTCATGCAGTAATAAAGAAAGTGCTTCACTGTGTTTTTAAACTCCATACACTTTCACTAGACTCATTTGGAGGATTTCAACCCTGGAATCGCCAATCTCTACTGAATACAATTTAAAAGGTACAGTAGCTGTTAACTTGAAAACTGCTGCTTCATGACATCACAAGGTAGAACAGAGCATTTTGAGTTTTGGAGATGTACAGATTAATAATGAAAGCCTACACAAACATGTGTGAATTAAACAAAACACAACTCCAAGTTTTTGAGCAGGTAACAACATTATAACATGACTTGAAGCTAACAAGAGTCAAAGTTGCATAATATATGAGATTTAAGTTTAATGTCATACCATGGGACATTTTAGGCAAACCAAGACAGACAACCTAAACCAGAGCTAATAAAGAATAGATACAAGACTAAACCAAGGCTACACAGGACTAATCCAGCTCCAAATTAAGACTGGACCTGGGCTAATTTACTTGATAAAAGAACACATCCCTACTTCAATTACAGACAGATGCCCTGTATTCTGCTTTCTTCATCATCATGCTAACCAGACATGTGTTTCCCTCGGCAGGAGACACTGAGACTCATTGTTATTCCACAAGGGTCGGTCGATCCCCGCCAAATCTGTCTGTGCCCCACTCCTCATTCCACATCATTCCTGTATTGTCTAGCTCCCAGGAATCTAAAAATCTCTCATCTAAGGGATCGACTGGAAATGTGGCAAATCTGCACGTGAAACCTCCTCCCAGGGGAATTCTCCAGCACACGGGAAAAAGTGAAGGGAGGGAAAGAAAGAGAGACAGAGGACGAGAAGGCTGCTCCAGGCTACAAAGCTCCTCTAATACTGAGAGAAAAACCCAGGGCCAGAAACTAGTTTGGATGTGTCTTATTTGTTGTCACATACAGGTGGCAGAGTATCCTTGAAAGAGGTGAATGGTGCTTTTTGAATGACTAGCCCTCATCAATAAGTAATGCCCTGTCGCTTCCAGTCTATCACACATAAGGCATAGCTGCAATTATATAGAATACACAATATACCGCAAGAATGGCTAATACAATTTTTATAAAATATATCAATACAAAAATCATTATTTATGATCATATTTGTTATCATTATTTATTTATAAGAGTATATTTATTTATGATAGTATAGTAGAGTATGTTGCTATATCCTTTATGTACCTATCTTTAGTATTGGTTTCAAAATGTCAATTTGAAAAGAACTCCTTAAACATTACGCAAAACTGACTCCTGTGAGCTTATAACGCTGTTACCTCATCAAACACATATCTGGAAATGTGCTTTGTTTCATTCACATATGTTTGAGTCATCCTGCATTAGAGATCCAAAGATCAAAACGCTATGTTCTGCCTTGTGATGTCATGAAGCAGTAGTCTTCAAGTTAACAGCTGCGTTTTACCTTTTGTTCAAGAGAGATGGGTAAGTACAGGGCTGAAACAGTCCATATGATTCTAGTGAAGGTGTATGGTATTTAAAAACACAGTAGAGCATTTCCTGTACTGTCCCTTGACATCACAAGGTGGAATAGTGTTTTCTGCTTGAGAAAAGAACTTAGCCAAAAATTGTAGTGTTTGTGTGTTAAACATGTGTGAACAAAACAAAACACAACTCCAGGTTCTGTATGTTGTTGATGAGAAAACAACATTATATTAGAAAATAGCGTAATATAAAGACCTTCTATGAGTCAAATCATACAGTGTATAAATCATTAGAAAGCATAGTCAATTTGTATAGGTGTGATAGATGGATGCCACTAGTAATTCCAATTCAACCTTGGCAGACATGTGGGGAACAATTAAAGCCCTTCAGGAATCTAAGCTACCATTAAAAAAAAAAAAGAAAAAAATCATAATTCATCTCATAGGGCCAATTCAGTTTGATGATTGTCTGTGATGTAGTTAGCTTTCTGTTGCATCTGTCTCTGCATTTTCATCAGGCATCTGCCAACCTGTTTACCTGACTCTTTGTGCAGTGAGGCAAGAGGATTAACCACAGATGCCCTGCCCAATTATGGACAATATTATATTCATTGTAACCTGGTTTTCAGACATCAGTTTATCCTATTGATATAATGATAATATTGCTATGTTTAGTGGACTCTCTTGCTTTTATAGTTTTCAACCCTGTTTTCCAAGCTTTCAAAAGAGCCACTCAGAGAGAAGTCACTCCACTGCGATTGTTCCAGTGGCCTTTTGCCTCTCCGTCCTGTGCCTCTGCCTCGGTGCGTTCCAGCAGACAAAAAGACAAGTGAGAGCAGCTATAGGGAGTGTTTTTTTTTTTTTGGCTACGATAAAACCTAATCCTATTTCACAGTGCAATGAAGCTGTGCCAAAATAATCACTTGATGGGAGTTGAAAGTGATTACCAGTGTTCACTCTTATCTCCAATGAGTGCAGAGAATACGCTCCAACAAAAACAACAACAGCAGCAGCAATAGCATAGCCTCTGTGTGATGCCAGGCCAAGAGAGGAGCACATACAGACTGGGGGTAAGAGGGGCTGGGGCAGTCAAACTGGAAAAGCCACTAATGCTTCTACTCAAAGCCAAAGTGAGTATGTCTGTCGCACACAAAAGATGCGTACAGTGTAAGATGATTCGCATGGATAAGTAATTAGAACAGTGGTCCATCCTCGTGTGCGTGGCCTGAATATTTTACAAATACCATGCTGGATGCTGCTAGCTGTGTTTGAGATATATTTTTCATTCAGGCAAAAGAAAAACTTACAATCAATTTTAAGAATCACAAAAAGCCAATTTAACCAATAATAAACGTCACTTGTATATCGGCTCCAGTCAAATGAAGCACATGAGGCTGGCAACTATAGGGGCGAAGTTAGACTCGAGTTCCATACTAGAAATAGGACATTTAGACATTTTTTCTATACAAATTGAACTGGAGTCAGAATCAGTGGAGCTTCATCTAGCAGGTTAGCTATGTCCATTCACAAGCTATGTTTTTAATGCTCACTAGATGTAGTGTTTGTTCATAATGGATGAAGATATTTGTATTAGTTTGCATTAACTCTCACACATATCCAACTGAACAATAATTGTGTTTAGTCCAAGTATGTCCATTAAAAATGTAAGATCCCAGACAATGCATTTGCTGTTAATCTTCAATATGGTCAGTAATTTTTCCATTATGGTGCACAAGTTATCTTACTTTAAATTACTGGGTCCAGTAAGACTAATACAATTTCACCTGGAAATCTGGAACAAAAACAGGACAAAACCAACCAAACAACATAACCAGAACCCAACCAGTAAGTGAAGTGAATGCAACCCTATTCATTATCAAGCAACATAATGAGTTCATTTTCAGAACATGCAAACCCACACACGTCTCCTTATATCTTGTATGAGTGTTGTTTGATAAAATAACAGTTGTGTAGGCGGAGGCTGATGTCTCCTGGCAGCAGCTCTCCTCACCTGATTGTTGGACATGACATAGAGAGAGCTCCGGTCCAATGAGAAAGCCATGTCCCGCAGGATAGGGCTGCTCTCCTTCATCACAGTCACTGTCTCATACAGGACGCTCTGCTCCTGAAGACCGTCCACACGGATCTGCACAGACATAAGAAGAAGTACACTCAATACAATAGTGAAGAAAAGATGTACATTAAATTACTTTATCATGGAAAATAAAACTGTTGAGACGATCAAATCATATGAGACACATTAACTGCTAAAGAAAAAAACACATGAAAAATACAATATATCGGTGTAGATAATGATGTCACTTTCATAGTGGAAGGGCTGTCACTTGCTTGTCTACACTGAAATGTAATGCTTTGTCTGGAATGTTCAACAAAATGTTTTTTCTCCTTTCTCATTTCTCCTGAAATGAGCAGATCCATGCAACCCTGTTCACAGTAAGAATAGCACATCTACATAAGCAGGCGGCAGACTTCATCAGAAAGGTTATATAGAAAAACATAAAACATAATGTACCATTAGACACCTGTATATAGTTTTTAAACTAAAAGGTTGTATGTCTGCTATAGTATTAATCTGACCAAAGTAACAGTTCACAATATAGTACATGTACAATGATGTGATGTTTCCATTCCCATACCTTTTTAGTGAGTTACACTTTGATACTTGGTTTGTTACTGACGACTTAAGTTCCTTTTGAACTTGTTCCACAAAAGTTGTGCACATAACAGAAAACCATGAATCTGGAGTTAGTCATTTCTCAGTCCATTTGACAGTTACAGCTATGGCCCAGATCTGCCCTCCAGCCATGACCTGTTTTATTTTTTTAACAATGTCTTGTGAATTCAGTTGTGTATGACAGTGCAATGACTTCAGGCTGCATTCTTTCGGGATCCATAAAATCAGATAAATACACATGCCCATGATTATTCTATCTCCATCTTCAATTGAGTCCTCACATAAAAAGGTTTGTCTTTGTTGTATTTCTGCTTGTGTAGGCAGATGCTTCAAGCTATAGCAACAAAAATGTGTAAATGTTGAATAAACTGAAATAGCTAGTTCATCATCAAAGTCTGGCAACATCATAAACTTGGGGTTGTTGTTACGATTGCAAAACTGTTGCAAAATATGTTTTGCAATCTGAAAACATTATTTTGGCAGGACGGCTAAATTTAATTGAAAGAGAAGTTTAACACTGCATTTTGAGGTTTCACGTCTCATACATGATCATTATTATCAAATCCAATAGAAATGCAATTATTTTGCCAAAGAAAATTTAATTATGAACAAAGTACTATGTGTATAAACATAGCCATTGTGTCTATTGTCTGAATGAACTGAGCAAGATACAATATAATAATGGAATGCACACCAAATTCATCTCACAGTCCAAGGCATACAGAAGAAGACCTAAACGAACTATTATTCAGTTGAGCTATAACATGAGTAGAAAAAACAATTGTCAAAAAAGTAAACCTAAAGTACTTTCTTGTCTATTTATGTCACATTAACTTTATCAACTTAACTTTTTCATTCACGATGTTCAATTTCAAAAAGCTGTTTGAGGAATGGCATTAGATAACAGAAATTTGATCACAATTATTTTTTGTTGTTTGGCAATAACAGTTTATAATTGTGAAACCGTAAAGTTGTTTTTCTCCTAATAATTGTGACACTAAAATTTGAAATAGTGACATCCATCTGGTATTAAAGTGTAAAACAAACAAAGACATTTCACACTCTCAATTGTGGAAAAGTATTGCCGTGCAATTGGGGCTGGATTGATGTGGATTGCATCATACATTGACAGCACAGTATCCTGACACATGAAACGTCTGTCATTAAAGTGAAATGAGCTGAAAACCTGAATAAAGTATGATGTAGAAAAAAATGTATTTGCTATGCGGAGCCAGGTTGGATCTTGAATTGTGGAAGATTGGATCATTAGCAGTGTGATGCAATTAAAACTGAATAATCTTAGACATAATTACTAAAGTCGCTGCAGAATAATAAGGCTGTATATGAGTATGCTGGTCTTGTATACTTGGGCAGCCTTGCCTACCAAATTAAATCAGACTATTAAATCTTAGACACATTAAAAAGTAATTGCTTTGTTGACCCTTTATGGCAGACGTTAACTGTAATATTGTTTAGCCAGCTGTGTCTTATATATTGTGACCAGTCACTCTTTAAATATATCCACAAAAAACAACAATCAACTCCTACTTTCTATGCTGTGCCAAGCCAAAGACCTTAGAATTATAGAAGACTAGATCATTAGCAGTGTGGTGCAATTAAAGCTGTATAATAATCATGGACATAATTAGTCAAATCCATGCAGAATAACAAGAATGTGTATGAATATGCTGGCTATGTGTATTTAGCCAACCTCGACAACCAAATCAAATGTGACTGAGGGAGTTTTGAATGCATGCCAGGCCAGCGTGTGCTCGTGGTGGCAGGTTCACAGCACTCCCTCAACGGGGACAGTGAATCAATACAAACTGATTACATGATTGGATCCCCTGGGCACCCAAACTTCATCAATCAATCACGCCTCCACCTTCCAGGCAGCTGCGCCTCTCCAATCACCAACTCTGCCAGCCAAAAGGGAGGGAAACATGTGGGTGCGTTTGTGTGTACAAGGAGAAGTGTCCTCTTTAGGAGACAAAACATCACAGTTTGCTAATGAGCAGGCTGGCTTTCTACGCCAAGTAAACTACGTAAAATATTGGCTTTTAGTATGTATGATTGAATTGCAGACATGTTTAAAGCCAGAAAGAGAGCTTTGCCAGAAGACAAAAATGATTTATATTTACTTCAGAAGATGAAAATCATTAGAGATTTCACTTTAAACATCAGTTTGTATCAACTACACTAAAGCAAATGTATTATGCAAAACCAACTTTTTAAAGATTTTAATCATGTTATAGTTTTTTCCCTTCTCATTTACACCCTCAATGTTGCATTTAGTGTGATTGTTGCATGTTTGAGTAATTATTAATTAATATACTGAATATGTATTCATTCATTGCTCCGACCAACCTTTTTTCACTGCCACTGTTCTGGTATACTCCCACTACTCACTAGTAATATGCAGCTATCCATCAGAGGTGTCAGCTGTGCGGCTCTGTTGTGATCATGTTTACAGCAATAATAAAATGTCCAAAATATCACATAATAAGCCATGGGTGTCACATTATAACTCTATAGCAGACACAAGTACAACAATAAACAATGTGTTTATAGGTGTAAAACTGTCAAACCGTCAAATTTAAAAGGCTGTCACTTTTGCTTAAGTATTAAATTAAATATTACTAAGTTATATGCTTCTTCCATAGGAATGTTCATTAATGTATGTCAATCATGTGCAGGCAATGTTACTGTCAATCAAACATTTTCATGAAAGGACCAAAAACAAACAAACAAAAAAATGGGCTAAAAGTATACCTTATATGTAGAAACAAATTTATATTTACAATATATTGTGTGTATCTGATATGGACCAGGACAAAGCAGATAATGTTATAAATGCCAAATATTTTGTAGTATGAGGTAAAGAGGCTTGAGTACCACCATTAGTAGTACCAGAGTTTGACAATGACTGTAATTGACTGTAGATTTTCACACAGACAGCAGTTGTATTGTCTTGACTCCAGACAGATTTCCTAAACCTCCCATTCAACATCAGTCTTCCTGCCTCCTCCACATCAAATCTCATTCCACGGTCCCATGCAAATGCAAAGCCATTTTACAGTACATTTTCCCACACTCATTTCATAAATAGCACTAATGTAAACCAGAGATAGTGAGCATTTCTCTGTGTGAAAACCTTGTCTAAAAGCCACAAAATAATCTAGAGAGGCAGATTAATGAGTGTGTGGTTTTCACTGGGTACCACGGAGGTCAAGCCAGGGCCAAAGGAGGATGGAGTTCTGGGATGGCCCATGCTTACTGTGGGATTGAGTCTGCTTTTTATCATTTAAAACAAGGCTGACCAGACAAAAGCCCGCTGGGACCTCGAGCAGGTTTTCAATCTCATCTTAAGCCTCACAGCCCGGTAATGAGAGTAAGTCGAGTTTAATTGGTTTTATAATGAGGCAGCTCATAGTGACACACAAACCTAAGCACATACTCACAAAGGCACTTCAAAGACAGTTTAGGTACAACTTTATTTTGGATTTACTTATTTGATTTTCAGGAGCTCTTCACCAAGGAAACAACCCTCTCTTGTACCATGTTTAAAAAGTCTGTAACAAAATTAGACAAATTAGGCTCTTTTATGGTTCAAAATGAAAAGTGCTCTTCAAAACAGTGAAATCAAGAATATATTGTTGAAGCCCACCAAATAATCATTCTAATAATGGACTATTGGTAGATATTAGTATGCGTTCACACTTTTCATATGATGAGCCCAGTTTAGTCCTGATGTAGACTAGATTTGGTCCTGATCTAGAACTGGTTTAGTTCCTGAATGAGAATCAGAAAAGCTTTATTGCTGTTGCTACTGAACAAACGGGTAAGTCCTTCATTTGATGTGATGGTAATTGTAAACGCACCTTTAAACTCATATAATGAAAGTGATTTTAATACAGATTGAGAAAAAGGACAACAAATAAGCAAATATAAGACATACTATGCAGTGTTAGTGTGTGGACAGTTGTAGAGCATTCATCACTAATTTAAAGAATTGGATTATTAACTCTATAATACAATTTCAGAGCACATTTGTGTATAAGGTCCATGGTATAATGCATTAAACAAACCAAATTAAGTCGCCACTAATATTGTGTGTTATCATGACCTTAGAAATTCTTTTCATCTCCGTTGCCAGCATGCCTCAGCTAACAAGGATATATATTTAACCATGAATAATATTTAAGCCAATGACAGCAGCATCCTCTTTGCTGGTGCAATTATTTAGTACAACCTGCTGAGGAAATAAACAAGCCAGCTTAATATGGATTTCCACAAACAGATATGCAGCGTAAGCTCACAAGGTCTTAACTAAAACAAAATCCTTTCCCGTGGTTTCAGTTTGCATCCTGGGCTATATTCTCATCCACCCAGAGCCAAGCAAAACACAAAAGCCAGGCTATAATATGTCATTCAAAATAAGGCTGACACAA